TCCAGCCAAGATTGATATATCCTGCACAACTGTCCCTAGAAATTGATGGCAAAACAAGGTGCTTCCAGGATAAAGAGGAACTAGGGGAATTTGCAGTCACCAATTCAACTCTACAGAGAATACTGCAGGACATTCTAAAAAAGGAAAATACCAAGATTCCAGAAACAGTGGCAGAGAGGCCATAATGAATGGAGCAGAAAGGAAAATAAAGACAAACTGACAACAAATAACAGAAAAAGAGCTCAACAGAAATGAGGCAGAGAAGATTGGATGATAGGAACAGCTATTTTGGAGAAAACAAGGCATCATAATAGCTAGTGCTGACTTAATATCATCTTGTTTTGAAGTCCCATCAAGCTTTTATTCTTCTGTCTCCATCGGTCTTAACATGTTGTATCTTACTGGATTTTATCATATGTGATAACATAAAACTTTTATAGACAAGGAGGTTATACAGAAACCATTGTTCATTTTCTGATAGTTGGTTCTAAATACCCTGTAATACTGTCATTCTCTTGAATGGCTTTACGTTGTCTTGATATGTTTGATGCTGCAGTATACAAAGTTATACTTAAGATTTCAAGGTAAGAGACACTATGGTAACTACTTTTATGTCAGGATATCTTGTGAAACACTATTTTGCTTAAATGGTTATGTTTTGACCTGTGCTGTTGTGTTGTTATGTCCTCTTTTATCTCAATTTCCTTTTTTTATTATTTACTTTTTTATTTTTATCTTTGTAATTAAGTGAAAAATAAAAAAATAGCAAAGATATATTATAGTAACCCACTTTGATTTCCTATTAACTTGATTTGAAACCCTGTATTGCTCTCACCATCTTGTTTTGACTGATTTTCCTCTATTCTGTCTTGCTTGATACTACCAAGTTCAAGAGTATAGGCAATTCGGCCTCCAAGTTGAGCTGTAAAAAAAAAAAAAAAAAAAGAGTATAGGCAACAACTGTGAAGACAGTACGATTCATTATGACGCCCATTCTGGTTTGACTATTATCTTCTTTTGAAGTCCTGTAATGTCTCCAGTATTTAGATTTTACTGGTTTTGTTCTTTACTGTTTTGTTCAGTTTTATTATAACTGATGATATAGGCAATTCTTTTTAAGATAGTAAGAGGTATTATGGTAACCAATGTCGATCACTTTGTATTTTGTTTTTACGGTATATATTATGTCCATCCTTTTGGTTTGACTGACTCTGTTTTGTTACATCACATTTAGTTTTATTCTCTTCAAAAAAAGTAAGAGGAACTATGAGAGTAATAAAACCTAAAATGTGTAATTGTCATTAGTAATTGTACAAAAGAGAGGAAAAGAAAGTGCTCTAAAGGATATAACTGCATGTATATTTAAGTGTATAAGATAGATAACCATATTACTGAGTTTTGTTGGATCCTTGAACAGAACTGTTTGCAGTCTCACTGTGTCCACTTTGTATGCTTTAATTTTGTAACTTGAACAGCTATTTCTAAGATGATAATATGTAATCTGTTAGTGATTTCCTACTGTTTGTTTTTTTCTGAGATTCTGTATAACTTGTGCCCTTTTTCTGTTTTTGTTTTCTCCTTAAATAAAATTTAAAAAAGAGATAAAATTTACGATCACAATATAGACTTCAGTGCGTGAGCAAGACACATTTTAGTGGTCTAAATAATAGGTTCTCATGCTTTAAGTAAACCAAGTTGAGCCCCTTGGATTTGCTGACCTTTGAATTGAGAAAATGAACTGCACTGTCATTTTCTGGAGTTGCTTAGCAGTTGTACTTTAGTTTTCTCCGTGGCAGCATCGTGCTGTGGACACATTGAAACCGTGCTCATGGAAATCTGTCGGTGCTGTGTGTGATGCTGACATTCCCCAGCATTCCTGGGGTGCTTTGTTTCAGCAGGACTTGAACTGACTATTTTGCATCCTTAAGTGAGTTTTCCTTACTTCTTCCAGGGTTAAGGAATCGGCTTTAAACAACTTCCTTTTACATGGTTATTATTTTAATACAGTTGCAGGTAAAGATGAGCACAAATTACCAGTCAGCTTCAGGGCTTTTATTCAGTTTTATTTTGGCTGTTGACCACAGTGTTTGAAGTTAGCAGGATCCTCTGAAACTTGTGCTCTTCGCATTCACTGATTTATACTAAAGTCGGGGCCTCTGTCCATCCCTCTCACAGTTCTAACCTTGACCTCCCACATCTGAACCGCTTCCCACAGTTGGAAAAAACTTTGATTCTCCCGTTTTTGCCTCTTAGGATGCAGTGGCAGAGAGGAAAGCTGAAACCACCTCCTCAGGAGGATCCCAGGTGTGAGCCCAGCCTGGGCATCTTGCTGAGACCCTGCCTGGAAGTTAGAAAGTAAAAACAATTTTTAAAAGGGCTATGGATGTTGCTGAATGTGAAGGCCCTGGGCTCAACCTCTGTACTGCCACCAGTGCAAAACGAAGCCAAAAAAGAAGCCACCTTCTTTCCTATAGCAAGTGCTTAATGGTCCTAAGCACTGGGAGACGCTGCTGCTGCAGAGAGTTTCTGTGCAGTGCTGTGTAGAACCCACAGCTGTGACAAGGGTCCTCTCGTGCCCCTGAGTGGTTGGTCCCCTTGTGGAGTGAGTACTGAATAAAGGGAAATCCAGAGTCCAGCCCACACTGGACAGGCTTTGCTGACCAGAGGTCCCTAAGCCCTGAAGTTACTGGAAGAATGAGATGTTCTCATGCTTCGAAGAAGTGAAGTTGAATTTGGCACACCCCTGTAATTCCAACATTTTGGGAGGCTGAGGCAGGAGGGTCACAAGTCAAGCCCAGTCTTGGCAACTTTGCAATTTACCAAGACCCTTTCATGAAATATAAAATAAATAAAGGGCTGGAAGTGTAGCTTAATTCAAAAACTCTGGGCTCAATCCTCAGTCCCACACTGGATTTCAGTATTTATATTGCAGTCATTCATTTATTGTTGGACATTAAAATTATTTTTTAAAATTTATTTTAAGTTACTTTAAGTTAGTCTAAACAATGTTTCCAGTAAGTTTTGTTTTGCATCTATACTCCAGTCCCTTTTAAAGCATTGGGTGAAATAACTTAAGACTAAATGTAAAGTTTTCCTAGAGTCTTCCTTTGTTTTTGTGATGCTAGGGATTGAATCCTGGGCCTCACACATTTGAGGAAAATACTGAACCCTTGAGCTGCACCCCTACCTCCACCCCACCCCCACAAGTTTTCTGTTGTAACACACTCTTAAAACTGAGTTTTGCCTGTCATTCCAGCTACTCGAGAGGCTGAAGTAGGAGGATGACAAGTGAGAGGCTGGCCTGGGCAGTTTAGCAAGATCCTATCTCAGAAATCAAAGGGCTGGGGATGTAGCTCAGCTCCTGGGTTCAGTTCCTAGTATTCAAAAAACAAAACTAAAAACTTAACCTCTTTAATTGGGCCCATAGAATGCATATTTTGATTTTGAGTTTGTGGACTTGCTAACTGAAAGAGTAGAGCCTAGGTAGTCTGGTTGGCAGTATGGTGTGCAGACTTACCTGGTTCATATGCCAGTGTGCTGCTGAGGAAAGCAGTTTGTGCCTTGTCTTGAACTCACTGGCTTTTAACGATTCTTCTTTCATTCTTCTCTGGTGCCAGGAAGCAGTGACAGTTGCCTCCAAAATCACTGTGCATTTGTGTGTGTCCCCTGTTGAATTGCATGACTTTCTTCACTGTGGATCATGTCAGATATCCTTTTTGCCCAGCACAAAATGACAAAATGACTGGATGTTATAGATGCTCAGTAAACATTGCATATATATATATATATATATATATATATATATATATATATATTGCTGAAGCTGTCATAGAAACAGATTAGAAACTGAACTCTTACACGATAGGTAGAGAGATTCTTATGTAAGTAGAGGGCATATACTTAGGGAGCTAGCAGCTAAAGGTGAACCATAATGTTACTACATTTGAATGTCATTTCACGGGAATGGTTGGGGTTAGAAAAAAATCAAAATAAGTAGCTGTGTTACAGACTGCTGGTCAGTTTTCCCATCTCTAGAACGTGATACCCAACCAAGCCCATAGCTTAAATGGGGAGGAGTTTATTTGGCTCATGGTGTCCGAGGGTTCAGTCCATAATGGCTGCTCCAAGGCAGAAACATCATGGTGGAATGAAACAGCAGAGCAAGGCTGCTTACCTCTTGGCAGCTGGGAAGCAGAGTAGGGAACAGCCAGAGAGGAGGGGCCAGGGACCAGATACAAATCCCAATGCCACACCTGTACAACCGGCCCCACACACCCAGAACTGTGCTCTACCAGTCCCCTGGGCAGCTCCCAAACCCAGTCAAGTTCGCATTCTACCCAAATGGCCAAACTTCTAAATTTGGGCCACCTTGGCGTCGTTTTAGGTTATTCACAAATTGGGAGCACATTGACATTTCTGGTAGTAACTGCTACTTGTTCTCTGACCCAGAAAGGTGACGTTAATGAGGAGTGTTTTCCATAGTTGTGAATGCAGATGTGTGAGCAGCTTCCGTTCTACTCATCTGTTTAGGTGATCCTTTGCCGGATTACTGCTGGTACCTCTTTAGAAAAATACCACTTTTTCAGGTAACATTTCTCAAAATGAGGGTATGGTTGAGGCCCTGGGTTCCAGCCTTAGCTCCTAGAAAGGAAAGGAAGAAGAAAACAAAGAGAGAGGAAGAACTCAGATATTCTTCAGAAATGATCCTGTGGGGTAAATTCGAGTGCAGGTTACTCAAGAGCTTCATGTCTAGCTCTGCATGGGTGTTGGTGGACAGCATAGCTTTGTTAGATGGCTCCGCCTTTGTCTGCTGTGAAACAGTGGCCAGGACGTTTGTCAGCGGAGAGTCAGCTGTGCCTCTGGATCCACAAAGAAGCCTCCCATTGTTAGTGCGTCTCTCTGCATGTGGAAGGCTGCGTTTGCGTGGCTGATGTGCTCATGACAGAATGCTACTGAGCATTGATTCACACACAGTGTTTTCTTTTGTTTTGATTCTGTAGGAATCTAGAAAGGTTGTGCCATGAATGGTGACACTCGGGCTGCCGTGGTGACCTCACCACCCCCAACCACAGCTCCTCACAAGGAGAGGTACTTCGACAGAGTGGATGAGAACAACCCAGAGTACTTGCGGGAGAGGAACATGGCGCCTGATCTTCGCCAGGATTTCAATATGATGGAGCAGAAGAAGAGGGTGTCCATGATTCTGCAGAGTCCTGTAAGAGAAGCATGTCTGGAACAACGTGGGCTCCCCGCTCCTGCCGTCTCATTCCCTGGGCTCTGTTGTATGAGTGGTGGCATCAGTCCGTCTTCACACAGGAAATGGGCGCCTTGTGAGCGTGTGGTGTTGGCTGGAAGAGTTGAGTTTACCTCGTGTTGTCAGGCAGGCAGAGCGCTTCACTGTCATAAAGCCAAGGAGGCATTGGTTTCTCCTTTTCATTGTTGTGTTTCTTCATGGGTCTTTTATTTATTGGAACACCTCAAAAATAACTGTTTCCTCCAGGATGCAGTCAAGGATCTCTAATCCAAAAATCTGAAATATGAAGTATTTTGAACATCATGCCAATCAGAAGGTTTTAAATTTCAGAGCATTTCAGATTTTTGGATTAGGAATACATAACCAGTAAAGTCTGTGCAAAATATTTCAAGTTCTGAAAAACTCCCAGATCTGAATCACTTATGATCTCCAGCATTTCAGATAATGGCCACTCAGCCTGGACCTAGCTGGGCACAGAGTAGGTTAATGGTGTGAAATTCTCCACTGCCAGCATTTGAGCCTGTCACAGGCATTCGAGTATGTATGGGCTGCATCTGCAGGGCACGTGGGACCGTTGTCATGGTGACCTCGTGTTGGTGCTGCTGCCCGCGTGTGTATGTGTGTTCTGTCTAAATGTGCTCTTGCTTTATCCTCTCAGTACTTTGAGGAAACACAGATTGTGTCTTCTCTACTATGAGGACATACGGGTTAAAACTAAGGATTCAGCAGTTAATAAGAGTACAAGGCCTGTAATGAATAGCTTTGGTTGAGTTGTTATTAAGGTGTGGTTTACATATGATCCAGTACTCTGATTTTTGTATATAGCTTGAAAAGGTTTTTTTTGTTTTTTGTTTTTTTTCCCCATGTTGAAGATCTAATCTAGGGCCTTGTATGTATATGCTACCAGTGAACTACATCCTCAGCCCTTTTATTTAACTCCCATTTTTATCTTGAGACGAAGCCTCACTAAGTTGCCCAGGCTAACCTTGAACTTGTGATCCTCCTGCCTCAGCCTCCTGAGTAACTGGGATTAGAGGCGTATGCCACCACACCTGGCACCTGATGAGTTTTGACGTTTGTAGGGCATGTGTGTAATCACCCAGATCAGGCCTCAGGCTTGACTTTCCTGCTGAAGGTGAACCAGAAGAGCAAGCAGAAGTGCGGTGCTGACAGCGGCAGGGTGCTCAGGCTGAGGAGAACTATGGTCTCTCTGGGAGGAAGATTGAACCCCCGCCTGTCAGGAAGGGGCTGGCCACACAGGGACCCTTTTCCAGGCCCTGCAGCCAGCAGGTAGTGGTCAGCAGCTGCTGCCTGCACAGGCTGTTTGTTGCCTGTATGGTCTGTTGCCCTTGTACCTGACGGCAGGTGTGGTCTCAGCGCTCCCTGTTGTGGTGTGGAGGTGCCCGGCCCACCCTCACGTGTGGGTACAGTGCACATGTGGCTGTGTGCTTCCTCCCGCGAGGGTGGACTCAGGCTGTCCGGGGCAGCATCCTGTAGGGTCTTTGCAGCCCCAGGCTAGAAACCAGTTAAGTGTGAGATGGGCAAGGCCTCAAGTACTTGTAGTTGGATATAGATGCTCACCCGTGAGCTCATGGTTTTGTGTTCCTGTCATGTACTCGGCAGATACTTCTTTATAGAACATGTGAAATATTAATATAGCTTGGGAAAACTACAAAATGTCTATCGTTATCTATTAGTATCTGTGATTACAACGGTGACTTTGTATTACGGTCACCACCAATCCAGTGGGACCTTTTTGACTAAGCCAGGATTGATAAAGAATGTGTACACTTGGTACACAGATACATTTCCAAAGTATTTTGAAGAAAATACTGGAAATTGCAAAGTGGCATCAGAAATTACTAATGGTTTTGTCACTTAGATGATTATAATTAACATTTCAATGTGTTTATATTTACTGTTTATGTATTTACTCTTACAGAAACTATTTATAGTGTTTTATGACACTTCAAAAATCTATCAAGAGCAGTTTTTATGGCATTTCATTTTTTCTAGCTTTTCAAGTTGAGTGCACAGGATTCCCAGTGTGCCACATCGGTCCCCTGTTGTTTGAAGTGCAGGCTGTTTTCCTCTTTGGTCAGAGATGCTGAAATGAATGTTCATTCCTATGAGTATATTGTTGAGCATATCCCTCCTGATTATTTCCTTAAAATAGATTCCTAGGAACAGAATTTCAATTCAAACTTTAAAGCTTTTAATTTTACTACATAATTTAGCAGGAAAGAATGTGTCAGTTTATATTTCCAGTTGTAATGGATGAACAGATCTGTTTGCTATTCCAGCACAAAATAAAAAGTTGGTTTATGTGATAGCTACCCCCACCCCAACAAGAGGGAAATGGCAGTACACTGTTTTGATGTGCATTTTATTAGGCTTTCTGTGAAGAATTGGAATCAATGATACAAGAACAGTTCAAGAAGGGGAAGAACCCCACAGGCCTGTTGGCGTTACAGCAGATCGCTGACTTCATGACGGCAAATGTGCCCAGCGTCTACCCGGCAGCTCCGCAGGGCGGGATGGCGGCCTTAAACATGAGTGAGTAGCCTTTGACCTCCACATGTGCCAGGGAGCAGCCTGTGGCTTTCTGCTCTGAAGGGTCCAGATTTGGGGCTGTGCAGTGCATGGTGCTGAGTGTTTGAAAATAACTGTACTTCAGTCAGTCTTAGAGCAAAGTAGGCTGTAACCCTGAAGCATCCTGACTGTAGAGGGGCACTGTTCTCGCAAACCGGTGAGTCTGTTGTTCCCAAGGTACAGGAATCTATGTGGTTTCTGAGGCCCTTGTGAGTTAGAATAACTAATTGGAAACAGTGCTTACGTGGAGAACATCAGTTTGGCTGAATCATGTCAGTCACACGAGTACTTCTTACTCGCCAACAGTTCTTAGCTACTTTTCCTTATGTCTGCTTGCACATTGAGGAGAGGCAGACAAATTCCCGAAGTAGCCAGCGGAGAGAGGCCAGATGGGTGGATGTAAGTGAAGGCCAGTTGGCTGTGTTGGGCAGAGCTAGCTCTGCCCTGGCTAGTGACTATGTGACAAAGTTATCATCACAGGACAGTGAGGGCACATCCAGCCCTGTAAGGCATCCTGCTCAGATCTGACTGGGCACCATGGGCTCTGGCTTCTGTGCGCTCAGCTGGTGTCTGCCCTGGGGTTTGCTTAGAAGTTGATTGACATGCACAGATGTGATGTCATTTGATGTCTTCTTAAAGGCCCATCTTTTGCTTTAATAAAACACTTTTAACTTTTCATTTCTAATATATATGTTTAATATTATACATTTCCTTCTAAGTATGCCTTACCACATCCCACAGATTTGACTGCTTTTTTGTTACTTATTCCTAACTTAGTGTTGTAGAGTACAGTCTTTCTGTTTTTGAGACTTTACGAAGCCTGGTGTGGAAGATCTATATCTCAGATCTGTGATTATTTGATTAATGTCTGGTGAGAGTTATCAATATCTGAGTTCCGCTTTCTTCATTTCAGGTCTTGGTATGGTGACCCCTGTGAACGACCTCAGAGGTTCTGACTCCATCGCGTATGACAAAGGGGAGAAGCTGCTGCGGTGTAAGCTGGCCGCCTTCTATAGGCTGGCCGACCTCTTCGGGTGGTCTCAGCTCATCTACAATCACATCACGGTGAGAACGCAGGGCCAGCCCCTGGGCAGTGCTAGGGGCGGCCTGATCCGTGCCTGAATCCGCATGGGAGGCGGGCAGCCGGCTTCAGGAGGTCTACAGAATATTAGGCCCAAGAGTTGCCGAGTCCAGGTCAAAAGTCACAAGGATGGTCGTGCTTTAAAGTTTCTTTCTTGGATGCTAACCTACTAAATTACAGGCTGTTCCTAAAATTCTTTTTATGCTTGAAAGCCCAGAAATGAACCACTTGCTTCCCAACTCTGACCAAAGTCTTCTGTCTCTCACACTTGTTCCTCTAGCTACTCCAGGTTTTTAAAATCATTTTCGCTATAGGTCCCTTTATTTCTTCAGTTCATCCATGTCACACATACAAACTCAGCAGTTTGGAAGGCTGCTTTGTGCTCTTTAAAACTCTTGACTGCCTACCTCCTCTCTGCAAATGACCTCACTGTGTCATAGAAAACATGAGGACCCTTCTGACCTTGTGGCCATTCTGTAATCCTGATGACCTGTTACAGGCACTTGTTCTGGTTGGGCTTGTTCTTTTCTTTTTTTGGTACCGGGGATTGGATTCACAACCTCACACTTACCATGTAGGCAGGCACCTAGCAGGCACCTAGCCACTGAGCTAAGTCCCTAGCCAGGCTCTTCTTTAGCTTGCAATCGCATTGCCTCCTGCCTGCTTACATTCCTAAAACACTGACTATCTGAGCCGATTTCCTTTTTTTCTTTCCCTTGTAGAGATGGCTTTGTTTTTTGAACTATTTCTCCCCCCACCCTTTTTTTTGAGTCAGAGTCTTTGTCAGGCTGGCCTTGAGCTCACATAAGTCTTCCTGCCTCAGCCTCCCAAGTGCTAGAATTACAGGTGTGCATCACAGTGCCTGGCTTCTTCCTTTGGTTTTTGAGCTTATTTTACTTTTCTGCTTTTTTCATTTTGTTTATTGGATAGTTCAGATTATTAATACAACACCTGCTTAGTGTAATAGGCGAACTTTATACAAATGTCTTGAGAGACAGTCATGATCCTGCCTGTCTTCTGTCTCTGTTGAGGTGGCCAGTGTGATGGCCACTGGGACTGTTCTGACTTCTCCTCTGTACTCACCGTACGTGGTGCTTGGCAGCTGCCCTGACTCACAGGATTACGAAACCTCCCAAATGGTCTGGAGCCACCTGTGTGACTGGAATGCTGCGTTCCTGGGACTTAGCATTGTGCTCTACCAGTGCGTGGAGTTGTCCTTTGCATTGCTTCTAGTGCAGATCTCTCAAAATGCAGGCTGACCAGGTCAGTTGGGTCTAGGGTGCAGTGCCTGCTCATGCTTTGCAGACTGCTTCCTGGTCTGTCCCCGCTGGGGGACTTCCTGCCTTCTACACATTTCTTGTCATTGTGCTCCCCATGGGGCATGGAGTAGGCGTGCCCCTGGTGACTGAGTTGCTTCCTAAAAGTTGAGACAGGAATTGGCCAGGGCCTTCTGCTGCAGGGCCAGGAGGCCCGTTAGCCCAGCCAGGCCCAGCTGCCTTCCTGGCTTCTCTGTTGATTGCATTGGATAGGGTGCTGTGCTGGAGAGTTCATGCTAAATGGTGGCCAAGAATGGGTTTCGTGAAAACAGCACAGCTGTGAGAAGTATGCTCCGCAACTGTAACGCAGCTTCACTTTCTTGGAGGTTTTAGGCTGCCTTTCACCACTGGTCCTTCTGTGATGGTAGTGGAATGAGTTTGAAGCACTTTAATGCAGGTCACCCTGCCCTTCTTTGAAAGAGGGTCATAGGGATTTTCTGCTAATGCGATTTAAAATGCTGACAGGTGTTAGAGGATGGGAGAAGATTGTGAGTTAGAGCATTGAGATTGCACTGGATTTAGAGAAGCCTGTGCCGGGAGGGGGCAGGCCAGGCTGGATCAGCTGGTACTTGGGGTGGGGTGTCCTTGCTCAGCGGCCTTAGCTAGAAGCTGTGCTTTCTCTCCTGGTGTGGGTGGGTGAAAAGCTGTGAGGGTTAGCACTATGGAATGTGACAGGTGCTTGGTTCAGTTCTGTTTTGGATTCCAGGGAAGGCGAACTTTGAGGTGACTATCTGGAACCCCTAGTCCTTTGCTTGGGGACATGATATTTGTCCCTAGGGCCAGGGTGAAGCTGCTGATTCCTGCTATTGGAAGGGTGGACTCACTGCCTGAAGTCCTTGTACCAACAGTGAAGCTTACCGACTCTTAACTCAGTAGTAGTATATTCCAATTTAATTTGTAGCAAATCTTTTAGGTCTATCCCGAAGTCTTTATAAAAACTAAATTAAGAGCTGAAGTCTTTATAAAAACTAGATCAAGATTAAAACTAGTTTATAGGCATGTGGTGGCACCTGCCTATAATTCCAGTGCTGGGAAGGCTGACCAAGGAGGATCACTGTGAGTTTGAGGCCAGCCTGGGCTTCACAGTTGAGACCCTGTCTCAAAAAACCAAACAGTAAAAAACAGTAACAACAAAAACCAAAGCCGAGAACTAGAGTGAATTTATGTATTTATTTACTTTGGTGGGCAGGACTCCTTTTTTTTTTTTTTTTTTTTTTTTTTTTTTTTTTTAACGGCTGTAATTCCTGGCACCTGTATCTTGTTTGGCATATGGTGCCAAATCTATGCCAACCAAATTCTGGAGAATGAAATACTCTGCAAGGAGCAGGGATGTGCTGTTGCATGGAGACTTTCGTTTTATTTATTTATTTAATTTTGAAGGGGATAAAACAAAACAAATAAAATGGAACAAAACAGTGAGAACAATATTGAATTTCAAAAACAAGACAGAGAGTAATCCCCCACAGTTGCTCTGTTGTATTTGTTATCCTCCAAGCCATGCTCAGCCCACCAGGCCCAGGCCTGCAAAGCCAGCCAGTCAGTACAGGCATTAAGTTGTTTTGTACCTCGTTGTTACACAGCCTCTGTTCCTCTGAATCAGCTGGTTGCCTACATGGGTGTGTGTGCGTGCGTGCGTGCGTGCGTGCGTGCGTGCGTGCGTGCGTGTGTGTGTTGGGGGTAGGTAGGTTCTTCTTGTCTCCAGCCCACAGCTGCTGCTGGCTGATGGGAAGGGCAGACTGACTTCCTCTGTGTAGAGTTTTTTTGGTTCTTTTTTGAGACAGGGTTTCACTATGTAGTTCTTCAGGCTGGCCTTGAGCTCACTTGGTAGCCCAGGCTCGTCTTGAACTCTCAACGATCCTCCTGCCTCAGCCTCCTAAGTGCTGGGATTACAAACATGTGCCACCATGCCCAGTTTTGTGTGGAGACTTAAAGAGAGATTTCTCTCATTTGCGAATTTAAAGAATAGGTTTCAGTTACCATTCTACTTTGAGGTGTGGTGGCCTTCACCTGGGTCACTACCTACATTTGTGGTAAGCAAGTGGCGATTAACTGTCCTGTCAAAGTGCTACTGTTGAACTGCTTTTGTTCTCTCTAAAGTCTTTTTTATTTTCTTTTTTCAAATTTTGAGATAGGATTATGCTAAGTTACCTGGTGGGTTCAAACTTGTGGTCATCCTGCCTCAGCCTCCCAAGTAGCTAGGAGCATAGGCATGCACCACCACACCTGGCCTCTGTAAAATCAGTTTTCATAAATGTGACTGAGGTGGGTTCATGAACAACAATATAGGAATCCAAGCAGCCAAACTGATAAATTTGGAATTTAATTAACTGAGCTTAGGCCACTCATATTCAGACCACCCTGGTTCAGGGTCTAAACAAGTGGCCCCAAACTGGAAAGTTACAGAGTTTTTAAAAGAGAGTCACAAAAGACATCCTGTTGGAAACAATTTAGCTCGAATCTTTCATTAATTTTTGGTTGACACCTATATACTGCTTCTTTTGTTGAGCAGGTTAATTTTTCTCCTGTGGGTGCAGCTCGTTCTGCTTTTCTCATGGAACTTATACCCTGAGTAATTTTCCATTTTCCTGGGTCAGATACAGGGCACTAGTTAAATGCACGGCTCAAGATGGCGTCAGTTATGCCAAGCTACAACAGTGACCAAGGAGCACTTTTATGTGTTTTGTAAGTTAGATTACTAGTTAATATAAACACAGAAAGCTTCCAGTACTCTTAGCTCTGTGGTAGTCACCGTGCATAACAGTCCCCCTGCACACCTCACCTGTAAGTGCAAGTCCTGAGGAGATGCAGGTAATGTCAGAGGCGCTTGGGGACTCACTCCATTGTTTTCCTCACAGACCAGAGTGAACTCGGAGCAGGAACACTTCCTCATCGTTCCTTTTGGGCTTCTCTACAGTGAAGTTACCGCGTCCAGCTTGGTAAGGTGTTCGCCAGGGTCCTGGTGGGCTTCGAGTGCCTCAGCACACATGAAAGCCAGGGACCAAGAGGGGCAGGAACGCACAGTGCTGGGTGTTTGCAGGAGAAAAGGCTTGAGGAACTCTGAAGCGTGGATTACGGAGTTTCCAGCCTGAGTGACTTAAGGTCCTTAACATCTTCAACTGTGGTGTATTTCAGGTTAAAATAAACCTCCAAGGTGATGTAGTGGACCGTGGGAGCACTAACCTGGGAGTCAACCAGGCTGGCTTCACGCTGCACTCCGCCATCTATGCCGCCCGGCCGGATGTCAGGTGCATCGTGCACATACACACCCCCGCAGGGGCTGCGGTGAGTGCGCCGGGCTGGGCCAGCTCAGAGCGCCCTCAGCTTACTGGACCGTAACCGGTGGCAGTCTCACTTCGGTGGGCTAAGCCTGTTACGTTTTCCTTTGTGGGGCTGAAGTTTGAACCCAGCGCTTGCAAGCGCTAGGCAAGTGCGGGACCACAGAAGGATACTCAGCCCCTAGTATGACTTCCTTAACACTTTTTTTTCTTTTAAGGGGTCTATTTGATAACTATAATTTTTAAAAACCAATGAGTCTGAGGATTGTGGTGGGGGGAGGTTTGATTGTGTTGAAAACTGGGGAAGTGCAAAGTGACAACGGTAAACATGATTCCTCCCGGAGCAGAGAGGCCGAGCAGAGAGGCCGGGGCAAAGGAGAGGAAGCCACAGTAGGGGTGGGGAGGGGCTGGTCCAGGGAGAGGGTGAGGTCTGGAATGCTGCTGCCCAGCTGCTAAAACACAACACAGTCCTGTCCAGAGCTGGGGTCATGTCCAGCCTGGTCATGGTGCACAGGTAAGAAGAGGCCCTGGCTTCCATGTGTGGTGTCCGCATGGGCCACTCACTCTGGCTGATCCCTCCTCCTATGAGTGGGTCTTAAAAAGCCCCAGGGGTCTCATGGTGAACATGCATGTTCCGGGTGTCTGAGCAGAGCTGTGTGGAGGTGAAATACTGTATTTTATTTTATTTTATTTTTTGTGCACAGGGTCTCACTATGCAGTTCAGGCTGGCCTTGAGCTCACTTTGTAGCTCAGGTTGGTCTCAGACTTGCAGTGATCCTTGCTCAGCCTCCCAAGTGCTGGGATTCAGGCGGGTACCGCCATGTCTGACTGAGGTGAAATACTTTTTAGAGCTGTGTTTTAGCACTTGGCAGACTTTTAGGCTTATTGTAAAACAAGTATTACATCTTGATCTGTCTTAATATTTAATGTCAAGCATATTGGATTCTATAGATGAATATTAGCTCATGTTCATTTGACTTTGAACATATGGTTCTTGAAGTTGGCGTTAGAGTTTTATTAAACACATCATTCTTGGGATGATGTACTTTTATTTTCTAAAAGAATACCCATTACTTCAGCCACTAAAAGTGCCCATACTTTTAAAGAACCTTTTGGACACTTTTAAGAATATAGTTGCATACAGGTGACAGGGGATTTTCATTTTCTATATACTGGGAACTGAACCTGAGACTGTTGCACTGAACTACACGCCCAGCTCCCCCCCACTTTTTTTTTTTGGTCTTTTTCCTTTTTATCGGTACCAGGGATTGAACTCACGACTGCTTGCTTGCAAGGCTGAGCTAAACCCCCAGCCCCCCAGCTCCCCTTTTTAAAATTACCTTTTTTTTTTCTGTTTGGTACAGGCGATCGAATTGATGACCCCGTGCTTGCCAGGCAGGCGCTTATGCCACTGAGCTAAATCCCCAGCCCCCAAAATTACTTTCTGATAGTAGTAACAGTCACCAGTTTGCTCAGGGTGGATTTGAACTTGTGATCCTCCTGCTTCAGCTTCCCAGAGGGATCACAAGCATGCCCAGAGCCATGTACTAGGTTTTAAAAGCTACCAGGGCTGAATTTAGGGTTCCGTGGTAGCCACTTGTCCAGCATGCCTGAGACCCTGGGGAGTGGGTATCAAAATAACTTTGCTTCATAAGGACATTTCCCACATGAAGCTAACCCCTGAAAACAGCTAGTGCAGCCCTGCCTTCTCGGAGAAGCTTCGCCCCGTGGAGTAAAGACTGTAGCCTTTGGCTTTGGGGGCTGCTGGGCGAGAGTCCTCACACTGCTCACTCTCTGAAGACATCAAAATCAACATCTTCGAAGGAGAGTGTCGGAGGGTTTCAGGAAACTTGAAAACCTGTGGGGCCCTTGAGAGGCTTTTTTTTTGTTTGAGGCTATAGAGAAAAATTATAACTGTTCTGAACTTTTATACATGTGGTTGAAGTAATTTTCAGGCTTTTCACTTTTACCCACCCTTTAAGGTGGGAAGTGCACAGACCTTCGCAGCACTGGAATTGTCTTTGAGACCCATTGAGGCTTCCTGTGTGGACATGTGCCCTGGGGCCCGGGGTCCTCGTAGTGTTTGTGACCAGTGGCAAGCCTAAGGCCAGGGCTTTCTCCAAGGTGCTCCCGGCTGTCCTTACTGAGCTCTGGAGTGCAATTTACATGAAGTTCACAGTTTTATTTATTCCAAGAAGGAAGCAAAGTGAAACACTTCCTTGTTTTGTGTTTCTGTGTGGAAAGTACTTGCCTGTCCTGGATTACAGTTTTAACGCTGGCTTCTCCTTCCTTCCTGGTGACTGCTGATCCTTTAGGTGTCTGCCATGAAATGTGGCCTCCTGCCCATCTCTCCGGAGGCGCTGTCCCTCGGAGAGGTGGCGTACCACGACTATCATGGTATTCTGGTTGATGAGGAGGAAAAGGTGTTGATCCAGAAGAATCTGGGGCCTAAGAGCAAGGTCAGCTGGGGCCTCCTTTGGGCTTGCAGTTGGGGTGGAGGTGCCAAGGAAGCCGGGTCTACTTGCTGGCTCCACAGAGCATCCCACTTCCCTGCAGGTGCTCATTCTGCGGAACCACGGGCTGGTGTCAGTTGGAGAGAGTATAGAGGAGGCCTTCTACTATATCCATAACCTGGTGGTGGCCTGTGAGATCCAGGTAGGCGGTGGCTCTCCTGTTCGGCCCACAGTTGACAGGGCTGTCCCGGCCCTACAGATTCGTGCAGGAGTGAGCTCATTCAAGGGCTTCATACTGGAGCTGAGTGCGTGAGTTTGGGGTCAACCAGGGCAAATGCTGTTTCACTGACTCAAGTCACAAGAGATGGCAGGGTTTTTAATTTCTAATTTTTTTCTTTTCTAAATAATAAAAATGATTAACACTTTAGGAGTACAAATGGGCCCAGACCCCATATCAGGTGCCTTATGGATGTCACATGTGTGTTGTTTTGTTTGACCCTCTTCCCATTCCTTCTGGAAAAGCAAGAGCAGAAATAGAGATGCTTCCTGCGTGCTCGCTCTTGCTTGGCTCTGACCCTGAATGATGTCTAGGGCCATGAGATTCCAAGATCTTAGAGGCCTGGAAGGGGGCTTTGATTTCCCATTCTGTACCAAGCATAAGTCCCCAGTTTATTTGATGTGCCAAGGAAAAAGTTCTGAAAATGGCCTTCTGCTCAGTGCTGTCCCCGTGTGCCCATGTTTCGATTCCCGTGAGGCAGTGACTTGCTTCCTGTTGAGACCTAGCTTTCCAGCCAAGTGTCCCCAGCCATCTGATGCTCCACATCTCTCTGTGGAGCTCAAGTCATTGTGTTTCCTTGTTTTGGAAAAGGTTCGCACTCTGGCCAGCTCAGGAGGACCAGACAACTTAGTTTTGCTGGACCCCGGGAAGTACAAAGCCAAATCCCGTTTCCCGGGACCCCCGGTTGGGGAAGGCAGCGGGTCACCTCCCAAGTGGCAGATTGGGGAGCAGGAATTTGAAGCTCTCATGCGGATGTTGGATAATCTGGTAAGAATTGTGCCTCTAGCTGGTGGCAAAACTTGTTGTGAAGACACAGATGTTGCCTTCACAGCAAGTGAAATGATCATTGTCATGCTTACCTGGATGATTTCATCCTCAAAAATCATCACAAAACACCTTTTAAAATTTTTTATTAGTACATGTGTACAGTGTATAATGATTGCATTCATTACATGTAAAGGTTTTTTACTTTTTAGACTAAATCAGGATAAAATACAGAGATCGAGGTTTGGTACGTGATCCTGTTTTTTTCAGGGTAACTGGACGTTTGGGCTCAGTGGGGACAGGAGTGCCAAGTATGCTCTGCAGTGGGCAGCAGGTGGCCAGCAGGCAGTGCAGCGCTGACCTCCTGCAAGCTGGCTGCAGAGGGGCTCTCTCAAGCAGGCAGGTGTGGGTCTGTTTTGCTGGTGAGCTCTGGGTGCTGTGTCCTCGCTGTCTGTCTGCTTCGGATGGGTGCTGTGCTGTGTGCTGCAGGGCCAAGAGCCCAGCACAGCCCAGAGGCCAGGAGCATGGATTTCCATAACCCCATCCCTTTGCAGAGATTAGGGAAGGAGCTTTCTGTAAGAGGTAGCCCTTGGAAGTGGCCTCCAGGGACAGGCAGGATGCCCACAGGCTGAAGGGAGAGAAGGAGTGTATCCGTGCGGACCTGCCATGGGCTGGAGTGTGGGCTGGGAGTGTGCACTGTCAGGGAGCTTCAGGCCTGCCCTGGAGGCTGCCTGCTCCCGCATGCAGTCCTTCCCTGGGACCTGGAAGTCAGTCCGCAAACACAGTGTGAGGCAGAGTACCCAGCAGGCTGTCTCTCTCAGCCTGTACATGAGGTCCTGGCGTCCACCTTAATGCTATGGACAGGACGTAGGTCTTGCATTAGGAATACATGGCCCAGAAAGGGAAGTGACCAGACCTGAGGTACAGCCCTGTCCATATGCTGTTTAGTGACTGAGGTGGTCAGTTTGTGAGAGCTGCAGAGGCAGAGTGGGAGCCTGGGGCCAGCATCACTCAAGGGAAGCCAGAAGAGGGGCAGAAGCTGACAGGGAAGACAGAAGAAACATCTGCAGTTAGGTGAGGTCCAGGGAGATGTCACTTAGGAAAGTTGCCCAGAGCGAGGGATGCTGAGCTGGCCCCGGCACACAGCCACTTCCTCTTAGTAATTTGATGTTTGACGGCTTTGCTCCTAGGAAGTCTGTTACGTGAGGAAGGGGGAGAGGAGATGAGACTCAGGAACAGGGGCTCGGATGTATAGGCCAGGAGCAGGCAGAGGTGAATGGAGACAAGGGCAGAAGCTGGTGTACTGGGAGAGGAAGCAGGTGAATGGGCAGTAGGAGAGCCATCCCTTACACAGTCTCCGGGGTGACCCTATTGGTACCAAGTGCTGGTGGCGTGTTAGACACGAACGGCCGGCAGCCACGGATCCTGGTCCGGGCTTTGGTTTAGACCTGATCTGCTGCACTGAGTGTTTGCAAATCATGGAATTAAGTAGAGGAGAATAGGTGAAGCTTTCACACTAAGAAATACTTGGTCTTTAACATTTACACCTACAGAAAGTGCTAAATTGGTCCCCAAATGAGATACAATTTCAGTTTCTCCAAGAACGAACAAGGGTACATACGTTACACATGCGTGTAGAGTGTGTGTGTGTGTGTGTGCGCGCGGCTTGCGTATTGAACTCAGTGCCTTGTGCATGCTTAAGCCCATATTCTGAGCCTTCTTTCCTCGCTGTGTTTTTAATTATAAGGCCGAGAGGGTTTTGGAGTTCTTAATATAACCTCTAGTCTCAGTGTGGTGGCGTTTGCAGAAGGGAGTGTGTGCTGTGGGCATCCGCTGATGGCCAGGGCTGGGGCTCTCTCCTGCAGTCACAGAGCCAGCTCGGAGCTGGCTCCCAGCAAGTGGAGAGTTGAGTTAGTAAGAACTGTGTTTTGGGAGTGGGCTTCTGTATGGCTGAATCATTCTCTGTTATTACCCCTCAACAAAGCATGCTGTCAGTGGAAAACTCCCACTAGGGATACTTTCCTGCCATTCTGAGGAAAGATTTGGAAACTAAATAGAAAATGATTCTTCAGTGATTATCACCCCTTTTTTGTGTATTAAAGGAGGGACCCCCAAAAGAGGAGCAGAACCCAAAAGGAGGAGACAGTGTTTCTTTCTTTTTTGGGGGCAGGGTTTCTATTTTGAGAGTCTCACGTTGTCCAGGCTGGCCTCGGACTCCTGGGCTCAGGCTGTCCTTCTGCCTTAGACTCCCCTGGAGCGTGGCTCCACCCCGTGTTGGCAGCAGGGTGTCTGTGCAGACCCCATAGCCGTTTCCTGTAGAGCCCAGGTCCTCCCTCCACCTGCTGTGCAATGCTGTGAGTGACGGTGAGGTCTGTGTCTCTTGGGTCATTTGACCAACACCTGTCTGAAAGCCACTGTTACCACTTGTCACCACTCCCTTTATTACTTGCCGGGTTCTGTGGGGCAGGAGTCCAGGGACAGCCAGATGGGCTCAGGGACACCAGTGCTGCAGTGGGGTGTGGGTGTGGGTATGGGGGTGGGGCGCAGCAGGCTGCTTTCTCGTCTGAAGGCTCCACTGTAGGAGCACTGATTTTTGGGGGCCCAATTATCCACAGGGCAGCGTTGCTGGCAGCTTGCTTCAGACTTACAAGTCAGTGCTTGGCTGTAGGGTAGTATTGTCCTTTGCCACCCATGAGTTCTGCTAGTTAGAAGCATTAGAGGTTTTTTTCTGGTTTGCACCATCAGGAGGGTACAGCTGTTGTAATTTGTCAGAACTTGTCTTCCAGGTGGGGCACAAGGGGGCACACCTGTAGTCCTAGCACTCAGGGAGGCTAAGGCTGTGATTACAGGTTCTGAGCCCACCTGAGCCGCCTGTCAGTTAGCAGGACTTAAAAAGAATGTATTGCGAGGCCTGGGGATTCAGCTTGGTGCAAAGGCCCTGAGTTCATCCCCAGTTCATTAAAAATCAATAAAAACATTTTTAAAAAGGCTGGGGAGCCGAAAGTGGTAGCATAGTCCTGTAATGCCAGCACTTGTGAGACTGAGGTAAGAGGATCACAGTGAGTTCCAGGCCAATCTGGACTGTGTACCAAGACTGTCTCAAAAAACCACAAAAAAACAAAAACAAACAAACAAAAAAACCCAACAATGAAAAATTGCCTGGGGGTGCAACCTGTATTGGGTTGCCGGGACCACAAGCACACGCCCTATTCTGCAGTGTGTCTGTTGCCCCAAGCTTGGGTTGGCATCGTGAGGTTCTCTGCTCTGTGTCCACTTTGCAGTCCCCAAAGTGAATCTGCTCCCTCTCTGGAGTGCTGACCGCCCTTCCCTGTCCCTGTCCCTGTCCCTGTCCCTGTCCCTGTCTCTATCTCCTAGGGCTACAGAACCGGTTACCCTTACCGATACCCAGCTCTGAGAGAGAAATCTAAAAAGTACAGCGATGTGGAGGCTCCTGCTAGTGTCACGGGCTACTCCTTCGCCAGTGACGGTGACTCGGGCACTTGCTCCCCACTCAGACACAGTTTTCAGAAGCAGCAGCGGGAGAAGACAAGGTGGCTGAACTCTGGCCGGGCCGAGGAAGCTTCCGAGGAAGGGCAGAATGGAAGCAGCCCCAAGTCGAAGACTAAGGTGTGGACGAACATTACACACGATCACGTGAAACCCTTGCTGCAGTCTCTCTCGTCCGGTGTCTGCGTGCCAAGCTGTATTACCAACTGCTTGGTCTGTGCCTCCTTACTGTTCATAGTTAGATGACGTAGAGCGAGTCGGACAGCTGTGGCTTTGGAGGCTTTGGGATGGCTCCATTGGCCAGATCTGGCAGCCTCTTCTCACTAACTCTCTTTTCTCCGAGTCCAAGTCCACTTTGCACCTTCGCCAAAATCTGAGTAATGTTGTCCCTGTGAAACTGCTTAAGATGTGACATCCCTCCTACTCACTCCCCAGATGCCTGCAGTTAACCTAGAAGCGGAGCCTCGGTCCAAGTCTGGTCTGAGCGCTTGCTCTTGGTGTCTCACGCACAAGCAGGTTGCTCGGTCACAGATCTGATCCTGAGTGTCGCCAGCTCCAGTGGCACTGCTCCCCTCTTGTTACTAGTGTTGTCTTAAGCAGTTTTCCCCTCTCGGTACCCCAGCCTGTCTCCACTGGCCCTGTCCTCTCGATGTTGCTCCCTGCCCATCCCAAAGCCTCCGAACGCTCTCACCAGCTGCCCTCTGCATGGACTGTTGCATGTGAGTAGACGGCCGTGGAGGCGAGTCTTTGGCTCCTCTGGGTGCGGCATGACCCAAGTGCAGCGGAGGCCATTTGCAGGGCTGTCCGTGCCCATGCCGCTTGGGCTCCGTGGCCGCAGAGGACAGGTCGCTATAATTCCACAGGTGGGGCCATAACCAGAGCCCAGCTCAGCTGCCTGGTGTTCTCCAGCAGTGGCCCAGCAGACAGCAAGCTTTCTCCTGTAACAGTGCCTTTATTTTATAGATTTAAAAAAAAAGCAAAAGGGTATCTTCCTCAGGTGGCTCTGGTGCTTCCTGGTCCGCAGTGGTGAGAAGCTCTGGTGCCCCTGTGCGGCATCAGAGTGAAGGGGTGCAACTCTACTCTCCCACTTTTCCCTTTTTTCATTTGTTTTACTTTTCAAAGGGAGAGGAACAGACCAACCCTGGTCTGGGGCTGCCAGCGTCCTGCACCTTGCCCGATGCTCCTTTCCGGGTACACACAGTACAGTGCTGAGCTCTGTAACTTAGCCTGGCAGAGACTCAGCTGCTTTAGGTGTGGGGGTCCTTGTGTGCCCCACAAGGGCTTTGTTCTGCATCTCTATCTGTCTCTTACTGTTCTGGAGTATCTCAGGTTCCATGCAGTGCTCCCTCCAGGTTGGTATGTTTTCATTTCTACCGATTCTCGCTCATTTTTAAAATGTGTACCTATTCCAAGGCGGCTGTTTTCATGTTTGCCTAAGCCATTTCTGTAAAATGCTGGAGTTGTTTTTCTGAGAAGATGGCCATCAGTGAGTACCCGCAGCTCCATGCCCATCCCCGCTCCCCACAGGCTCAGCATCTGACAGTCGCGTTGCTTTCTGGAAAGCCACATGGCTGATCGTGCCCTGCTGCCTCTGGAAGGTCTTCCGGGAGGCGGAGAGCCTGTGCTCCCAATGATGGCTCGTTTTAATCTTCAGTGCCTACTCATGCCTAAAGATGAGAATTTGACTAAAAATCTCAAGTTCAATTGGAGATCCCAAAAAACCCTTCTGTGCAGAAGGCCCAGTGTGCTGAGGGTACGCACTGATACCTAAAACAGCCTTTAAGGCCTCATGTGGTGCTTCGGGGGTTGGGGTATTTGGAACACTGAAAGCATCCGTTATATAAAATACTCCACAGCACCAGACTCTGCGGCCAGGTAGCTGCTGTCTGAGTGCAAATGCAATAAGCTTTGGGGTTGGAGCATTATGCAAGCTGATGCCCTCATTCACGAAACTTTGGTGATGCCCACTCTCACCCCACAGTCCTGACTCCCCTGCCTGAGCAGTAGCCTGCATTGCTTCCCATGATCCTGTCATCTCATGCTTCCAGTTGGCTTTGGTGTTGGGTGACTCTCAGGGCAGTGAACCAATGGTCTCCAAGGGGCTCCTTGGCTGGCCTGTGGGTGACAGAGCTGGGATCTGTTGTCAGCCCACATTGTGTCCCAGATTTCCACGTGGCTGTCGAGGCGGCCTTTTCCTGTCAGCGATGACTCTGACGCCTGCCATTCACTGGTTTTCACTTGGTCACATCCTATTCCCATGGCGACTGTGCCGGGTGACCAAGGACACATGCTCATTGGTTCAGTCCTCTCTGTGATGCTCTGTGCATGATCAGATGTGAGATCGGTTGGACAAAGTGGATGCTATGGTTTTACTTATCACTGTCGTGACTCTGACTTTTCAACTGTTCTTGAAATTACAGTGGACTAAGGAGGATGGACATAGAACTTCCACCTCTGCCGTCCCTAACTTGTTTGTTCCATTGAACACTAACCCCAAAGAAGTCCAGGAGATGAGAAACAAGGTGCGTCCTGCTGTCTGTGCGGCGGGGGGCTTGGGTGTGGGCTGGAAGGGTGCTGGCTTGCTGCAGAGGCACTAAAGCCATCTCTTCACACTGCCGCTGAGTCCCCATGAGTGCAGTGTGACTGCAGACATGTGGGCTCCTGGCTCGACCTCAGACCTGCCTGGTCGCAGGTCTGATTCTAGTGAGAGCAAATTATGCTGCCCTGCTTTCGGGTTCATGTAGAGTTATAGGCTTTCAAGTGTTGGGACAGAGTGCCCTGTGTGTTTATGGTGTCCTTGCAGATGGGTACGTAGTGAGAATTTCCCCCAGAGGGGAACCAGCATGGGGTTTGGGCCCTGCCAGACATCCTGCCTGCTGAGCAGGGTGCCAGTGCCATTGGGCAGGCCGTGCTGTTGCCCTGAGCAGAATGCAGGTGTGGCGCTGGGCTGGGCTTGAGGACACAGCAGCGTGGCTTCCTGTACTGTTGATGTGTGTATCCCCTGTTCCCTTCCTCAGATCCGAGAGCAGAACTTGCAGGACATCAAGACGGCCGGCCCCCAGTCCCAGGTTTTGTGTGGTGTAGTGATGGACAGGAGCCTCGTCCAGGTGAGCGCTCAGAAGGCCTCTGGCATTAGTGGGTGCTAACTAACCATCCGCTCCAGAGCTGTTCTCACTTGGGTGAGCATGGCTCTGTGAGGTGAGTATTCTAGGCAAGTGGTTACCATTGTTAAGAATCTGCGTGAAAGCCCAATCACTTCCCTGGAGTCCTAGCTGAGCGGAGCATGCAGAGGACCGCACCGAGCCCTGCTCCTGGTAGTGCATGCATCCCCGCAGGGCACACGCTGCCAGCTTGGGGTGGTACATGGTGTTGCCAGGGTGCAGGGAAGCACTGGGAGAGGGGTCTGGTGGGCCAGCATATTCATGTCTGCAGCAAGTGCTGCTTGCGTTGTCAGGGCGGGCCCTGCTAATGTGCATTTTTGTCAGGCCCTGGTGGCACTGTGAAGAAATGTGTAAGTTATCTCGGACTCTCACGATGCCACACCACCGTGGCTTTCCAGCTTGACTCCGCAGGGGTGGAGGAGTGGCATCACGTTTTCTGAATTCCGCAGTCTTGAGTCTTGTGTTCAGTGTCTGCACGCACTGCCGTCATCACGCCACCTTCACTGTTGGCTGCATGCCCCTGCTGGCTTCATCCTGTGTGCTCAGGTGATATTTCCAAGGCTGGGCCTGACATGCTCTGGTGACTCAGTTTACTGTTGCAGGACGCACCTCTCTCTGACTGTACGGAAACTATCGAAGGGCTCGAGCTTACAGAGCAGACCTTTAGCCCCGCTAAGCCTCTCTCTTTTAGAAAGGTACTCAGCGCCCTGTCCTCACCTACTGTTGGTGCGCCATGCTCTTGTCCTCCCCTGCTCCCCACTGCCTCCTTCTCAGGCACTGTCTCAGTTACTCAGTCCCTTGCAAGGGATCTTAGAGTCATCTGTGAGGGTATCCAGAAGTTATGTTCTGCCCATTCTCCTGTTCAGCGAAAATGCTGGGGACAAGGTGTGTCGGTGGTTTCAGCATTTAGATTGGCTGCTGAGCAGTGGCCAGTCTGCACGGCATGGTGGGTTTCCAGAGTCCTTCGTGGGACTGGCCACACATGCTGCTGGGCTGCAGTTTACTCCACCTGAAGACTGAGTGCAGACAGCTGTCCCGACAGTCACAGCGCCTGCATGATCTCCCCTGATTGTTCTTCCATGACCATAGCAATTAGAGGCTGTGTCATTGAAAGATGTTGTTTCAGAGGAATGAGAAATAAGACTGTGTTTGTTGCCTTTCATTGAGTAAAAATAATTTATTAAAAAGAAATACCTAGGGCTGGGGATTTAGCTCAGCAGCACAAGCGCTTGCCTGGCAAGTGAGAAGTCACAAGTTTGATCCTCGGTACCAAAAAAAAAGATAAAAAAATCTGAGCTGGAGATGGTGGTACATGCATGTATTCCCTATTAGTCGGGAGGCCGAGGCAGGAGGATCATAAGTTTGACACCAGCCTGGGAAGCTTAGGGAGGTCCCCGTCTCAAACCAAAACATAGAAAGGGCTGCTCAGTAGTGGAACAGGTGCCCAGCATGCACAGGGTCCTGGAGTCAGCCCCCATATTGCCAGACAAGCAAAAAGCCCGATAGTTTTCTTTAATGTTTCAGAGGGTGGGGAGTGACACTCCTGAACCCTTGAAGCCAGGTGGTACTTTCTCTGTGTACGTGTAATCTGTGTGTCCGGTAGGCGGATGTCTGGCATTACCGCCCAGGGCAGGGCAGGCATGTGCAGGACTTGGTGTCCAGGCTGGGTGCTGGTGAGTGCCCTGTGTGCAGAGGACATTTCAGGGCGCTGCTTGCGCTCCGAACTCCCTGCGAGAGGTGCAGGACCGTGCTTGTGCTGGAGTTGCCAGCCAGAAGCGGGTCTGGTGGGACCCTGTGGTGGGATGTGGAAGTCGTCTCTTTTCTCCCCACTGCCAATCTTGGAGTGGCTTCTCTGAAAAGGCAGGAAGACTTGTGCTCTTCCCAGTCTGTGTGTCTTTGGTGTTGGTGCCTTGAGCTGTAAGCTGCCCTGGTCACTGATACCTCCAGTATGTGGTGGCGTGTGATGAGTCCAGGAGTCGCACGTGTGTTGCAGTGTACTTGTGGATCTCGTCTGGCCGGGTAGCTGTGCTGCGGGATGTGCTCTGGGGTGGCTCCTCATCGGCTTTGCTCCCAGAAGTGTTCTGATGCAGGTGTGTGTGATAAGTAGACACAGGGTCCCAAGATCTGTGCAGTCTCGGCAGAGCAGTGCCGGGGAGGGGACCAAGGCAGAGACCGGGATTGGCCTTGCCCTGGCTTGCCTGTGAATCTTCCTCCACACTGACTGCACATACTTCATGTTAAGGTTAAGAATGTGCTTTGATTTCCTGGCCGTGCTTTACTGGGGCTGTTCTTTCGCTGTTCCCTTCCTTTGGGGTGAGCTTCCAGGCACTGGCAGTCTTACCCCTGTGGGACATGGGCTGCTCCAGCAGCTGTTTCTCCTTGAGACAGGGAGGAGACTGTCCCAATGCCTCCCTTCCAGGGCGGACTTGGAGGGCCTGCTTCACCTGTGGGCCTCTGTGAGTCTGGCTGTGGGGGGCCTTCAGTTCCTGTAGTGGTGGTTTGCATGGCACAGGGTGACTTTTTCATAGAAAGGGGCATAGGGACATGGAACTCACATGAAAGTGCCCTTTCCCTGGGCGCTACACAGCCTGACACGGACCCTGTAGACGGCCTGATCGGAGAAGAGTATGTGAGGTCAGTCACACGCTGCCTGCCCAGGGAAGGACTCCGGATCTGCTGTGCCTGTCACTGGGGCTGTGCCCATCGTGCAGGGTGGGTGGAATGCAGGGGCAGTGAGCTGAGCTCCCAGGCTGTGTGTGGCCTACAAGCAGTTTAGCTGTCAGTCTCCTCTTCCTTCCGCTCCTCTTCTTCCATTAGGGACTGAACTCAGGGCCTTTGCCCTGAGCTAGATCCTCAGCCCTTTTTAAATTTTTTGTTGGAGGCAAGGTCTTGCTAAGTTACTGTCCACACTGCCACAGTCAAGTACAGAAGTAACTCCTCGGCTTTGTGTTGCTTGAAGTCCCTGGTAGGGACCAGGAAGGAAGGTGGCCTCTCGAGTTTCGAGCCTTACTGCTGGAGGAACCGGCCACCCTCCATGCTGACTCCTCAGGCCAGTCCCTGCTCCCCCTGGAGCTGGTGTGCTGCTTGTTGAGCTGTCAGCATGCAGGTCCTGCTTGTCCTCTGGGATACCAAGCTGGGAAGGAGGCAGATGTGGTGGCACCAGCCAGTACTCCCAGGAATGTGGGATGATTGCAGGTTTGAGGCCAGCCAGGGCAATTTAGCAAGTAAGGCATTGTCTCAAAATGATTAAAGGGGGACTAGGGATTTAGCTCAGCAGCATAAGTGCCTGTCTGGCAAGCGTGAGGCTGTGAGTTTGATCCCCAGTACCAAAAAAAAAAAAAAAAAAAAAAAAAAGATTAAAGGGCTGCTGTGTAGCTTAGTGGTGGGGCCTTGCCAGGCCTGTGTGAGGCCTGGTTTCCATCCTCAGCACCACAAAGTACAAGTTACACTACACAGACTCTGAACAAGGGCTCTGATGCTTCAGTGACAGGAGATGGTGGACATTTTATTCCTTTACCAATTTTGGACATTTGATTGAAAAGTGTTTGGGCCTCTCCAGCCTCCCATCACCTCATTTTATTGCGGTGACAGCAGGATGTGGGTCCCTGTACGGAATGCAGTGACTTGAAGGGATCTCGGCTCTTGAGAGCCCGGTGTCCTGAGCCTGGGCCTCCAGACAGAAGTGAGCGTGGGGATCTCCCAGCAGTGCAGCCCATGGGGTGGAGCAGGGGCCGTGTGTGCGGGAGATCCTGGGGGCCAGCTGGAGACCCTCCCTCAGGGGCCAGCACTCTGTGTCTAGGCCCCTCCTGTCTTCTTTTGTGTCTGGAAGCGCTTGTTGAGACATGGGTGTAAGAAAAGGCCGCACTGTGGGCAAGCAGCTGCCACCTCTGTGCCCGCCTGGCAGTGCCCGTGCTGCTCCTAGTGCCCCTTCCCCACAAGCCTAGGCGCTCTTCTGGCTCACAGCTTTGCCCACTGCTTTTCTTTTTTTTGGTCTTTTTCATTTTTATCGGTACCAGGGGTCGAACTCACGACTGCCTGCTTGCAAGGCAGACGGTTATGCCGCTGAGCTAAATCCCCAGCCCCTTTTCTTCGGGTTCTGGCAATTTCTCAGGCCAACTGGGTGTGAGGGGCATGTTGTACTCCAGGGGATGGGGGATCAGCGAAGCTGGTTGTCGCCTGGGCACCAAGGCAGACCTCAAGGAGGTGGTGGCGCTGCTGACATCCTGGGCAGGAGAGGCGGGAGGCCCTGCTCCGCGCCATCTGTGCTTTTGGACACCAGGGCTTCGCTAGGGTTTCTTCTTGTCATGTTTGTTGTGTGACACTGACCCATTGCCGTCTTGTGCTGTTGACGGCTGTAGCTCAGCTGCCCCTTGGGTCCCTGCCGGTGCAGTGTTGGTGTGTCTGCTCCCGAAAAGCCTGATCCTGCCTGCAGCCTGCCGGGGAGGAGGGAGAGCCCGGCCTGGCTGGGCCACTGCAGACCACACCACCTTGTTGCCCACAGGGGGAGCTGGTGACTGCGTCCAAGGCCATTATCGAGAAGGAGTACCAGCCCCACGTCATCGTGAGCACCGCGGGCCCCAACCCCTTCCAGGCGCTCACCGACCGCGAGCTGGAGGAGTACCGCAGGGAGGTGGAACGCAAGCAGAAGGGCTCAGAAGGCGAGTGCCCCGGGGAGGCGGGGCACGAGCATGTGCATGTGCGGACAGCCGCCCCAGAGCCGCCCCGAGAGCCTGGTTAGGAGCTGACCGCATCAGCCCTCGGCGTGCTTCAGTCTAGGCACGGAGCCTGGCAGGCGGAAGGGCGCTACTTGGCAGGGCCCGGGTGGGAGCCAGCCTTAGAGGAGCAGCAGGCAGCTTCAGAAAGCCCGAGGGCTGCAGCCCCAGAGTCCACTCCCGGCTGGAGTGGGCTGGACGCAGGTCCTGGTGAGCGGCTCTGTCCGCAGGGAGCGACGGGAGCACAGGGGACTGTGGACTAGTGGAAGCCAGCCTGAGGGCTGTGTCCTCGTGGTCGCACCGGTGCTAGGCTCCCTTCTCCCGCGTTGGAGGGCGGCGCTTGTCCTGCTGAGGCAGTGCGCAGGCATGGCCAGCTTCTGCCCCAGACCCGGCCTGGGGTCTTGAGCTGCTCACAGAAATGTCTTCAGTGACAGGAGCATTTTTTTTCAGAGTTACTGTCACACCTAGTGAGAGAAGTGGACTTGGGATTTTTTTATTTATTTTTTTTTTTGATACAGGGTCTTGCTCTAATTCAGGCTGGTCTTGAACTTACTATGTAGCCCAGGCTGGCCTCAAAGTTGTGGCAGTCATTCTGCCTCAGCCTCTGAGTGCTGGGATTCCAGGCATGTACCACCATACCTGGCAGTTTGGAAGTTCCTGCACTCAAAGTGTATTCCCTGCCTTTTCCTCTCTGGTCTTTATAAGCATATTTTGAACAAAAGGATGCAAGTTGCCAGGTATAAATTGTTGGTAGAAAACTTGCTAAGAAACTGGCTGGAGAGTGGGGCGGGTCAAGGCAGGTAAGGTAACATTGTGGGGTTGGTGAACACGGAGGAGGAGAAGAGTAACCTGGTATCAGGATCTGTGGAGAGTTCAGAGACTCGGGCAGGCCCTCTGCAGAGGGTGGTGTGGGAAGGCGAGGCCCCTGGGAGCTGGGCATGCACCCAGGCTGCCCCATGTACGCTCAGCCCCGCTGGGCTGTGTCTGAGGTGGGCATCCATCAGCTTTTCTTTCAGAGGTTTCTCACTGTGGGCTGCTCCTGGGCCTGTGGTGAGCAGCACATTGTGGCTGGGGTGGGCAGGGGCGGGCTTGGCCTGAGGCTGAGGACCTAGCCTTCCATGTGCAGCGTTCAGGGCATGTTTAAGGTCCAGGCCGGGTCTGGGAACAGAGCTTAATGCAGAGCCCTAGGTTCAACCCTCAGTACTGCAAAAAAAGAAAGAAAAATAACATTTGGGACCCCAGTTCTCCCTAGTCTCAAGCTCTACCTGTTTTTCCCCTTCGTATGTATCTGCAGAAAATCTGGGTGACTCTAGAGAACAGAAAGAAAAGAGTCTACCAGACCAGCCGGCCGAGCCTCACACCCCCCCCAGCACCCCTGTCAAGCTGGAGGAAGGTGAGCTCTGGGCATGTGGAGCCTCTGGGAGGGAGGGTGCATGGCTAACGGCACACTGGCAACTGTTCTGTTAACATGAATACAGAGTGTGCATTTGCCTCCAAGTCAGTGCCTCCTGTGGCCCTGGAGTCCCCAGCTGAGTCCCAGCCTCTTCTCCACTGTTACGCTCGGTCCTCAGTAATTTGAGGCCTCATAGAGTGGGGCTGTTGTGACCCCATGGAAGGGCAGACCTTGCCAGTGGACCACGCCAGCCTGTCTGGTGTCCGTTTTGCCCGTTGTGTGCACACTTCTTGTCTGTCCTGTGTGGAGGCGATACCGTCTTGTGTGGGCTGTGGGACCTCTGACCTGCTGCTCTGCCGGTCCACCGAGAGCCCTGGACACGCCCTGGCCACGCTGCGGTGTGTGGTCGGCACATCTGTCCCTTGTTCTTGTCCACTGTGTCCCTGTTCTGTGTTCCCCAAAGAATGGCTCGGCCCCGTAGCGTAAGCCACTGGCTGTGATCGAATGCATAGATTCTCTACTTGTGCTTTTCTCTCTCGTGGCCGCCTTGCAGCAGGAGATGGATGTGCTAAAGAGTACCTGCTACCCTAGTAAGTACTGCCGCGCCTGGCACACACCCACTGCTCCCTGTGCTGTGCTCCTCCTCTGTTGCTTTGGTTTTGAAGCTTTGTTTTCTGTTTTTTCAGAGCAAAAACAGAGAACCCCTTTTTATTCCTGCCCGTCTGTGGCCTCCCCAGTAGTAGTGAAGCCCTGGGCCCCACACTGTGCTGCGCAGTGTGTTGGGCCTCAGGAAGTTCCTAGGCTCAGCCTTCAAGCATTGCTTGTAAATGTTTGTGTGAAGGAGTTGCCAGTTGGGCTGGACGTAAATGTAGGCTGGCGCCAGCAGTGACCTCCACCACTGGCGTGCGGGATAGTTTGGATCTGTGCCTAATCAGACTGGTAATTTGAAGTTGGCTGACAGCAATACTTAGTCTTCTTAAGAAATGTGAAGCTGGGGCTGGGGATTTAGCTCAGCGGCATAACTGCCTGCCTTGCAAGTGTGGGTCGTGAGTTTGATCCCTGGTACCGATAAAAAAAAAAAAAAAAAAGAAAAAAGAAATGTGAAGCTGGGCATGGTGGCTATGCCTATAATCCTAGCACTCTGGGAGGCTGAGGCAGGAGGATCGAAAGTTTAAGCTCAGCCTGGGCAATTCAATGACTTAGCGAGACCCTACCTGAAAAATAAGTGTCTGGGAACATAGCTCCATGCAAAGCCCTGGGTTAGACCCTCAGTACTGCCAAAAAGAAAAGTAACACTTGGTTAGGGGCCCCAGTTCTTCAGAGCGTGTGCCATGGGTGCCACAAGCTTGGCCAGCGTGCCCCCTGCCTGTGCTCCCTCCTCTCAGTGTGGCACCAAGTCAGGGTCTCCTCTGATGCCCCACAACACAACAGTGAGGGTATAGGGCCTGCACACCTATGGCCAGGCTGCTCCAAATCTCTGCCTGATCCCTGACTCCATTTAAGTACTAAACACTTTGGAGGTGTCTAACATGCCAGTGGCGTGCAGCTCTGGATTGTTAACAATTCATCTGCAATGCTGGTGTCCCTAGGGCCAGGAGGAGGCATGTCCGCCCCAGGGGAGACAACCCAGGATGCAGCTTGTTAAACAGCTCTGCTGGCTGCTCTGGGGACACAGCTGCTGTGGGGCCAGATTTAGGCTGAAGGTCAGGACCACTAATACCCAAGCAGAGCTTTCTCCCAGGTGGGTGCCCAAATCTTGCCCATGCAGCCAGGCCTGAGGCCTGACGCTGGCAGTGTGCTCACTAGAGGGCACTAGAACCAGCTGAGTGTGTGCTTTGCAAGGTGGCCTTGTGTAGAGCAGACCATACACAGACTAGCCGATCTTGGAAAAAGCCATAGGACAGCATAAAGCGGTAGCCTTGGGGCCAGCACCCTTGTGTCAGGCTGCCGGCTCTCACTGTCCTCCACCTCCATCCCCAGACCTCCCGCAGGAGCTGCCCTCTGCAGATGACAGTGATGCCACCACCTTGAAGCCAACTCTCCCTGACCTGTCCCCCGACGAGCCTTCAGAAGCACTGGGCTTCCCACCAGTGCAGGAGGAGGAGGAAGAGGAGGCCCCAAGCATCCGCCAGCCTCCCACTGCAGTAGAGCCAGAGCCGGCCTCACCCCCAATGGCTGAAAAGGTGGCTTCTCCGGCTGCTGAGGAAGGAACTGCCATGGACCCCAGCAGCGATGGGTCCCCAGGCAAGTCCCCGTCCAAGAAGAAGAAGAAGTTCCGCACACCCTCCTTCCTGAAGAAAAGCAAGAAACGTGACTCCTGAAGGCCCCTGTGTACCACACTGTCCCGTCAGAAGCTACTCCAGCCCCAGGGTCCTGATTGGGTCATGTTCTGTCCTCTTGTGTAACGGAATGCCTCCTACAGCTATAGCCCCACCGCGCCCCTCGTGGTCAGCCCTGTAGTGGTGAGAGTGTCCCCCGGCCTGGGGAGCGGCCGTGTCCTTCCACAGGGGCCCGTCGTGGCTTTGGCTGGAAGGTCCCGAAGTGTTGCCCCTCCAGTCATAGGTGTGCTCTCCAAGGCCTGCCCTCTCACTCCTCCTCATGATGTGATGCACCCTGTTCCTGCTTGGCTTGCCAGCCCAGGTGACTCAGGTGACCAACTCCGACTCGTGGCTTCTGCTGGCTCAGTGATCCCTTTGTCCTGCGCACAGCCCTGTCCCATGGATGCCCTCGCATGCCCACCTTGGCTGAGCCTAAGGCTCCCTGCAGAGCTGGGCCCAGGCTGAGGCAGCTGAACCCTGCTAGGTGGCCCATGTGCACCCAGCACGATGCTATGCATGGTCTTAGAGTGACCCTGCCCCAAACCAGATTCAGGAGTTCCTAGGGCCTTGCTCACTGGTCTCTAGGTTCGGGGGGGGGGGGGGGCACTCCAGGAAGGAACAATCCTTTCTAGAATTTTCCTTAAGCAGGTTTGCCATGTAGCCTCATTTTGACTGTGAATACGAACGGCGTTGTGTGTTTTCTCAGTAGAGCCCGGGGCAGGCTGTGATGGAGTGCTGGTCACCTGGTTTGGGCGTTTTGGAATGGAGTGGGGCCCGTACCCACCTTACCTCAGCCTGAGGGCATCCTGGTTTTGGTGAACGTAACTCAAGGTGTCCCTGGCACAGTGCCATCTACGAGCCCACACTTTCTTCCCCTTGGCTGGCAGTGGTGGACTCTACCCATCCGTGCAGACAGCTGAGGCTCAGCAGACATGGCCAGGTGATGACCTGAGGGCTGCCCTGTGCTGGCCTGGCCCGCAGGGGACAGCCCTGTGGAGTGCTGGAGCCAGAGGTGGGCTCAGGTCCCAGGGCTGCTGCGGCAGTGGGAAGTCCCCTACACTCCTGGGCTCTTCTCCCCCCCCCCCCCATATGCAATGACCATACTTTTCACTTTTGTAGTCTAATTCTTTGTATTACAACATGAAATACAGTTGCATATACGGACTAGACTTTGAGGACTCCTCCACGATGTACTTTCTTCATTGTAACATGTTTTACTCACAATAAAACTCTTTAAGCAGTTTCCTCCTCTAGATCTCCATTCCCTCAAAATAGGGCCTTTAGAAGGCATTTCAAGGTCAAAGGAGAACAGCCCCCCATGTGCCTGTCCTGGCCAGGTATCGTGGCCCACGCCAGCTCAGCGCAGGAGAGTGGGGTGCCAGGTGGCTGATGAGACCTTTCCTCCCACATCCCAGGACCTGGCCTGGGTCTGGGTCTGGGTCTGGGTCTGGGTCTGCAGCGCAGCTGCAGCCCCTGGGCGTTGCTAAGGATGAGTGGCAGGTTAGAACCATCCTGGAGAAAGCACTGGTACAAAATAGTTGCTTTATTTGTCATTCAAAAGCCTGGCGCAGGGCCTAAGCCACCTGAGACAGAAAAGGCCTCTGGGAGGCTGAGCCTGTTCAGGCTGCAGAAGGGAGGGCAGCAGGGCGAGGCCCGGGGGCGCTGCCCAGCAAAGGGCAGGACGGGTGCACACAGAGGGTCTTCCATATAGTCCCAAGTGACTACTCGGTCTTGGGGGATACTGTCGGATGCCCCAGCTTACGCAGCAGCAGGATGGGGAGCAGGAAGAGCCCCGCACAGGTGGTGAAGCAGGCCTGGGCACCGGCCAGCCAATATACTGTGGGGAGAGGGCGTATACTGTGGGGAGGGCGTGAGGCAAGCAGGGGGGTGGTGAGACGGGGTGGCGAGGCTTCCTTACCAGAGGCGGCCACCACGGGCCCCACAGCCCTGGCCAGTGCGCCCAGGCTCCGCAGTGTGCCCATCACCGTGCCCTTCTGTGCGGGTGAGCCTGCGGGGAGACCCTGTCAGGAGCCAAGCCCACTCTGCCCGGCGGTGGCGCGCCTGTGCACGGGTGAGGGAAGGGCTCACCATAGCCGGCGACTGCAGAGGACAGGCAGGGCACCACGACAGCGGCGGCTGCGGGGGCAAGAAGGGCAGTGAGGCCTGGGCATGTGTCCACCCCCGTCCACTGACTGCCACCCGCCACGCACTCACCAAAGGCGTAGAGCAGCAGCCCCAGCCCCAGCGCGGGCAGTGAGCGGCCCCAGCCGATGAGCAGGAAGCCAGGCACCAGCAGCAGCATGGCCTGCGGGCACAGGGACACAGCAGGCCTGAGCTCCCAGCCGCCTGGCCCGCCCAGGGCACCCCGCCGCCCACCGCGGAGCGCCCCCTACCCGCGTCACGGCCGCGACCTCCCCGCCTGGGCGGATGAGCCGTGCGTAGGTGCCCTGCACGGCGGCCATCGTGACTCCGATGAAGAAGAACATCTTGCCCTGCTGCAGGCTGCGAGGCAGATGATGAGTGAGGGCCAGGACAGCCAGCGCCCCCGATCGCCTGGGGTCGGTGCAACCAGCACCCACCTGGAGAACTGGAAGCGCTGGTGCACCAGGAAGCTCAGGCTGTGTTCCAGCCCCGAGAACAGGAAGAGGTAGAGGAAGTAGACCAGGCCCAGGCGGCGCAGGCTGCGGAGCCCTGTGGGGCGGCGGGCGGGGGTGGGCCGGGCTGCCGGACCGGACGGGGGTGCGGGACGCGGGCGGGGGGCGCGGGCTCCTTACTGTCGGTGCCGGGCGGGTCCTGGCTGCGGGCGACGGCTGCAAACTGGAGCAGCGCCAAGGGGCTGAGCAGGTCGGCGGCTGTGCGCAGGCCCAGGGCGGCGGAGGGCGCCTGTGGGAGGGACGCGGGAGCCGGCAGGAGCCTGGGGTGCGGGCCGGGCAGGCGGCCCTGGGGAGCAGCCCCCCAAAAGACTGGACAACGGGAAAGGGCGACCCGGCCTCCCTGCGGCCTGCACGCGGGGACCCCGCGCCTGTCAGCCCCACCCCAGCCCTACCCGCTTCTCCGTGGGCAGCGTCTCAGGAAGAAAGCAGAAGACGAAGAGCAGGTCGGACACGGCGAAGAGCAAGCTGAGCCAGGGCGCTACCTCCACGGGCACGGAGGCCCCGAGCATGGGGCCCAGCGTGAAGGCCAGAGAGAAGGCCACCCCGATGACGGCCTGGGGGGAAGGCCGCCTGAGTTGAGAAGGGAGGCCCGCGGTCCCCACCCGGCCAGGAGCGTGCTTACCATGCCTTGGCTGCGGGCCGACGGCGTGCTCAGGTCAGCGACGATGGCCGTGGAGAGGCTGACGTTCCCTTTGCTGATGCCCCCGATCACCCGGGAGGCCAGGAAGGCCGCGAAGCTCCGGGAGGCAGCCCACACAGCGTAGGAAGCGGCCAGGCCCACCTGCGGGGACGCGCCAGGGGCCACCCGTGTTCCTGGTGCGGCCTCCGTGCAGCAGGCTCAGCCATAGAACCCCGAAGGCCCCCGCTGCCCGCGGCACCACCCCGAGCACAGGGCCGTGACGCACCAGAGACAGCAGCAGCACGGGGCGCCGGCCTACGCAGTCCGAGGCGGCCCCGGCGAGTGGCGCGGACGCGAACTGCAGGAGGGAGAACCCCGAGCCGATCAGACCTGGTCGGGGGGCAGACGGGCCGTCACGGGAGGTCCAGGACCAGGGGTGGTCACGGCCCGTGTACTCCACACTGGGGTGGCCCCACGGCAGAGCGCGGAGCAGGGACCAGGAAGCCAGGGGGCCCAGGCAGCAGCGGGGGCCAGCCTGGGCACCGGCTCGGCCGTACCTCCGAACAGAACGCTGTTGTACCTCTTCTCCGCCGGCATCCCGATCATTATGGCGAACCAGTCCACGCCGCGCTGCCACGAACCGTACAGCGGGTCCTGGGGAGAGGAGCGCGGGCTGGGAGCGCGAGGCAGCGGGGCGGGACAGGGCGCCCCGAGCTCCCCGGGGCGCCGGCACTCACGCGCGCACGACTGTGGCTCTCCAGCAGCCCGGGCAGCAGCGGCAGCAGCAGCGAGAAGGCCAGCAGGTCCAGCAACAGCCCGAGGAATAGCACGGCCAGCACGCGGCGCGCGGGCTGCGGGTGGATGGGCGGCCGCGGGGTGCAGCCGGCGCCCACCGACTCCATGGCGTTCCACAGGTCTGCGGGCGGGGCGGGGAGGTGAGGACCCACCGCCGCTGGAGACTTGAGTCCGCCTCCGCGTGCCACGCGGGGAGTCGGGAGGAGTCCGGCGGGGACTGGCCCAGGGGACCTTGAGGGTTCTGCGCTCCGATAGCCGTCCACCCCACCCACGGCTCTGCACCCGGTGTGGGAAGCTGGGATGTCCGAGGGGCGCGGGACGCAAGCCCTATGCGGAGGAACGCGGAAGGGACCACGGGGCGGGAATCACCGGAAGTTCCCACGCGCAGCCCCGCCCCTTCCTGCGGCCGGGCTGGGTGCGAGGTCTTCGCCGCCTCCTTCTCTTCCCGTTTGCAAAATCGGCCCACCCTCACACCAGGGACACTTGGATGGAATCCGGGTCGCCAGGCGCTTCCCGGCGAGCACGGTCCACCCAGCCCTGACCCCGCGCAGCTTCCCGGAGGAGGCCGCGCGGTGCAGAGCGGATGCGGTATACTGCTTCCGGGTAGGGCGGGCCAGCGCACGCCCCCCGTCCTCAGGGGTGTGACAGCCTACGCCCGGCCAGGACCCACTGCTTGCTTTCAGGTCTCTTGTTCCCTGCGACAGTGGACAGGTGTCCCCACGAAGGGACTAGTGAATTCCGGTAGTAACACAGCGTGGTGTTTGTTGAAGAAATAAGGCCACCGCAGCCCAGCCTTGCTTTCTGCAGCAAGGCGGCAGGCAGCCTGTTTTGAGGATGCGATAACCCCGACCTCTGCAGAACCGGGTGGATGCCAGCAGCCAGACCCTGAGCCCTAGGCGGTCTTGGCTTGAGCCTAGAAGGCCACCAGGGGCCGCTGCGCACCACCGTTCTCCACCACCGGAGACCTGAAGCTCTGCTGATCCAAAGGCGTCCTTGTCACTGCTGCTCAGAGGTCTCAGAGGCCTGCCCTGCACTGCCTGGACACCTGCCCATACGAAAGCAGTTATCCCAGGAGTCGCCTCACTGGTGAGATTCCCCATCTCATCAGAAAAAGCAGGAAACAGGAGACAAGGGCCTTCTGGACACTATGGCCATCATGCCTGCGGTTGTGTGCAGCTTCACAATGGGACCTGTCCTGTGGGACCCACAGCCCAGCCTATTCTTACAGGGGCAAGGGTGATGCTGCTGCGGGGCCAGTGTTCTGACGCTGCCTGTGGCTGGGTCCAGAGCCATCAGGAGAGGCGCTCATGTGGACTTCAAGCACGGGCAAGGCCCCACTGGGGTCAAAAGGACAACACAGCCTGGCCTCGTTTACAAGACATTTATTTCTTGAACTTTTTCCTCTTCAGAGCCTTCCATTCGCCTTCCTGCGTGGCCAGACTGTGAAAAAGCTGCTTTACTTTTTGCTTTCTTTCTGCATCCCTAAAAGAAAAGAACAGATGCAGGTTCTGAAGATGTGCCCTTTCCCCGCGCTGATCCACTAACCACCCAGCACCACACTGCAGTGCTGTGTCACTGTCCCAACTACCGAGGCCATGGGCACCAGGTGTGCCAAGCCTGGTGGTGGGCAGCCTTGCCCTGGCACACACAGCCTCCTCACCGTTCCATGGTCTCTGAGAGCTGCATCCTGGCTAGGAACTGGTTGTCCCTTCGGATCTCCCGGACGGCACCTTTAAACTCCCGCTTGTGTTTGTGGATCAGCCGCTTCCTCTCCTGCTCTTCCTTGCTGCTGCCGCCTTGTTTCCTCCCAAACTCGAGGCTGGAATTGGAAAGGCACAACATGAGGCGGCGGAGCAGGTCTGGCCAGCCGTCAGCCAGAGCCTGCTGCTAGCATGGCCTCTCCCGGCAGAGCCAGCCGATGCTGCTCTCCCAACCCTGACCTCTGCGGGCTCGAGACACTCACACTTTGACCAGGCGGGGGGTGAAGAGCTTCAGGGGGACCGGCTTGCTCTTCTCACAGATCAGCGGCCGGTACAGCTGCTTCTGGCTTTCCAAATCACTCAGGATGTTCTGAGACAGCTCCTGCAAGGCATGGTAGAAATGATGCTGGATGCCCCTGGGACAGGTACAACTTTCACACAGCCACCACAGCATTCTTGCAGGTGGGAGGGAACGCAAGACAGCCCTGTCCTCCCAACCACTCTGACCCACTGGAAGGGAAGCCTGAAAACTGCAAGTCTCCACTGTCAGCTTCCTGTCCTAGAAACTGTAAGGGAATGGCTACCCAGAGCTTTCTGCCACTGGGCAGCAGCACATATTATGGAAATGCACAGGACCCGTCCCTGCCAAAAGTGGCTACACCTTAGAGACAGGTATGGGGCAGTGGGCAGAGCAACACAACAGTGGGGGTGATCTGGCCTCACAGTCCCCTGACAGTACCAGACCACTAAGTACTTTCCCCAAGGTCTTGCGGACCAAAGTCACCTGGGCTTCTGAGGAGCCTTCTAGAAGCCACTCTGCAATGCTGGGTCTGTCATCCCTTGCACAGGTGTCCCAGAACCCAGGAGCTCAGATTAGCATCGGTCTGTGCCTGCACCACAGCCATCCCTGGTCTGTCTAGATGTCATCCAAGTGCCCAGAAGTTAAGAGCCTTGTCTTGCCCCAGCCCAAGTCCTGCAGGACCAGGAGTCTGCTCCATTCTTCAAATGGAAGGGACCCCTGCAGCCCTGTTTGCAGTACGTGGACACGGGGTGAGAGCAGCTTGCTCTGGGCTCTGGGGGGCCAGCCAGGAAGAGCTGCTGTCCTTGTAGGGCAGTGAGGAGGGCAGAGGGTAGGGGCGCAGGAGAGCTGCAGGCAGCTGGACCAACATGAGGCAGCCAAGCCCCACACTAGGTGCACTCTGTTTGCTGTACAGTGAAATGCCACCAGTCACCGAAGGACACAAAGCCCAGACGGGACATCAACCCTTCTGATCCCCTAGGATCCAGGCTGAGCAGGAGGACCTGAGGGGCAGGGACACGCAGGAAGGAGTAAAGCAGGTGGATGTGGCAATGAGGCCCTCCGACATGGCGCCAGGGCAGGGCGCCCTCGCCACCACAAGTCCCACCTGCAGCTCAGGAGGGTGACTGCGCTCTGCCTGGTGCTCCGCCAGGAGGGCTCGGAGGGGCCTGACGACGGTGTGAAAGGACGGGAGAGCGCTGTACATGGTCACACAGTGCCTCAGCAGGGCCAGCGCCACAGCCAGGCAGGACAGTCTGCGGGGGGCAGGTAGAGAGCAGCTGGTCAGTGCCCGACCAACAACTCCAACAGAGTACACGTGGCCACAGCCCTGGGAAGCCCATCAGCCACGGGCTCACCTGTGTCCCCAGCAGGTGGCGGGAGTGGGGTGGTGGTGGGAACTACGCCTACTTCCAGAATCAAGCAGGTACATTTCAAAAATATGAAACAACTTCTTTTTGCAGTACCAGAGACTGAATCCAGGGCTTCTACCTGAGCTTATCCCCAGCTCTTTTTTTTTTTTTTAAAGTCTATTTTAATACAGATTTTTGCTAAATCATAAAGCTACCCAGGCTGGGCTTGAACCCGAATCTTAGATGCTAGGATTACGGCGCTGCCACCTCACCTCGCTGAAAAGAATGAACAACTTTGGGGAAAAATCTTCCCTTGATACCAAGATGCCTGCGAAACTTTTGAATCTAACAGAACTAAATGGTCACAGAGAGCAAATGAAGTAAAACGCTTGAGTTCTGGGCAGGAACAGAAATGCCCTGTCCTCTGGTTCCCAGGGTGTAGACCATGAGTACCTGATGTGGTTGGCCTCAGCCGTGGTTGGGACACTGCGCCCGCTCGCCCAGCGCAGCGAGAGGCTTCCCCTCTGCCACGTGGCTGTGTCCTCTCTGTCTGAGACCAAGAGCAGTTCGGAGTTCTTCCCACGCGCTCTGAAAGGGTGCACCACGGTGGAACCTGAATTCCAAGTGCAACAGGACAGGCATGACCCAGATGTTACCGGCTCACAGGGCCAACACCACAGTGCCCCACCTTTAAAAGCTCTGGCCGCCAGGCTTCTGGTTCAGGCTCAACGGCCATGGGCAGAAGCTTTATAGTGGTGGCCACAGCCATAGCCTAAGCCCATCTTCAAGGCCACCAGCAAAACTTCTAGTGGGCCTGCCATGTGCTACACATGGCTCTGGTGCTCGCACACCAAAGCTGACCAGACTGCCCCGAGGAGGATGTAGGTGGTGCAAAGAGCAAATCAGGCAGAGAAAGGAGAGCAGTGCCGTCGGGCTGTACGTGGAGCAGCTGTGTTCGCAGGCACTGCTGAAGACCTTGGGTTGTCCCCGGCAGAACCACAGGCCAAGGGACAGCCTGCTGTGGGCGGCCAGACACCAGGACAAGTGTCTGCAGGGCCAATCCCTGGCAGGCCATGGTGACTGCACCCCTGCTGTATTCAGGGCTCACACTTCCTGCTGCACCCTGCCCTCTGCACGCAGTGCCCACACTGGCCTCCCTGCTGCCTGGTGATGCCTCTCTGGCCACCCCTGGGAGGTGAGTGCTGGTGTGAAGCAGTCACACACTGGAAGCCTGGCCAGATGGATGGCATGCTGGAGGGATACGAGAAGGCCCTGCCCAGCAGCTGCTTCCCAACAGTTTTCAAAATGATTCCCACAGGTGGTGCATGCAGCTCCTTGGTGGCCTGGTCTCCTGAACAAAACAGTCAGATGCTGCATTAAAAAAACAAAAAATCAAGCTGGGTGTGGTGGCTCATGCCTGTAATCTCAGCACTTGGGAGGCTGAGGAAGGAGGGTCGTCACAAGTTCAGGATGAACCTGGGCTACCCAGTGAGTTCCAGGCCATCCTGAACTATAGAGTGAGACTCTTCCTGAAAAAAACAAAACAAAGGGCCCAGAATATTGCTCAGTGGCACAGTGTCCACCTGATAAGTGTGAAGTCCTGAGTTTGATTCCTGTTACCAAAAAACAAAAATCAAAACAAAACAACCCAAAACAAACAATACAAAAAATATACCTGCGTGGGCAGCAAGACCCTGACTTTAATAGGTAGTATCCTCTGCACAAAGGTAGGAAACAGGAAAAAGGTAAAACTAATCTTCTTGGCCTATTTTTTTTAGGTCAAAATATAATTTCAGTAAGTGATCTAAAAACCCAGTAAGCCACCTGCATCCCCCAGAGAAAACACCACCCAGGGATTCAAAACCTGGTTTTTCCTCTTCAAATTTTCCACAACAAATATGAAGGAATGACTTTTAAACATCCCCAAGTGTTTTCCCAAAAAGTGCACAGGTGGCTCACCGTAGCCTTGCTTGTTCGGGGCTGCGATATACAGAACGCCAAGGAGGAAGTTCATGAGCTCTGGGATGAGCCTCCGCGACAGAGACACGAAGTCCAGGAAGAGGCAGCACACGAACAGGCCTTTCACCACGTCCTGGAGGGACAGCACTGGGCACTGCAAAGGAACCCACGGGGGACAGTAGTGGACGCCTGCTATGTGCCAGCAAGCAGGGTGAAGCCATGTCCTGGCAGAAGTGGCACAGTGTGACCTGCCTGCTGCTATATGGGGGACGTAGTAACCACAGTGAGGAGGGTTCAGCCGCACCAAGTCCAGGAAGGACCCAGCTACACCTCAGCCAAAACGGACCAAAGCCCTAGCAAACCTGGCAGCATGACTCTGACCGGGAAAAGGTGCATTCCAGCACGCGCCCTCCCCATTGCCTTGACCACTAATTTGGAGGCAGGTGGCTGGGGCACAGGGGCCTGGGCCTGCTGCGACCCCTGGGGCAGTGCACGGCCCAGAGACACTGCAGGGAGAGACCCACCTTGGTGAGGATCTGGCTCATGCACAGCAGGGCAGGGGTTACAACAGGGTGCCAGAAGTCAGAGGTCGGAAACAGCAGCCCGGCAATTTTCAGGTAAATGAGCTAGAAAGAAAGTGTCGTCACATAGGTTACAGATCGTCAGATGCTCCCTAAATAAAGCCTTTAAGGAGGGACCTGTGGGTAGGGGGCTCCGCTGGCACACTCTGTCCACAGCCAGATCCTGGGCTGCAACAATGCTGCTGGCTCCGCCAGGCCTCTGGAGCCGACTTCCAGGCGAATGGAAGCCCTGTTGGCCCGCAGTGGCTACCTGCATCCTCCCTGCCCCACACGCTGCAGTGGAGTTTCAGCAGCTCTTTTCTTATGAAACCCACGGCAGCAAAACCACTGTGCAGAGCTGGCAGGCATGCAGGGGAGCATGCATGGGGCTGAGCTGACAATGACACAACAGCCTCTGTGCCACAGAAGCTGCCACTACAAGGGCGACCAAATGCAATTTGCAAGGCGCACGAGCACAGCAAGCAATTCCCTGGCCCACAAGGAAGGAGCTCAGCCTGGACATGGAAATGAGGCCCAACAAGACTGGATACTGCCATGCACTGGTGGGGAATGGAACAGGCCCACCCTGGAAGGAAGTGGTGCCAGGGCATGGAGGAGAGCCCTGCAGTCTGTGTCAGTGTCCATAGTGGGCACGGCCACCTGGCACCAGGCTCCGCAGTGAGGAGCGGGACTCGGGGGCAAGGTGTGGGCCCTGCAACCAGAAATGTGGGGTGAGCCCTGTGCCCACCCAGAAGGCCTTAGGGAATAGGTTCTGGCACTGAGTGTCACTGACCAGCTGCAGACAATGACATGATGAACCGTGCTCACCACATCCAAGCCAGGAAACGTGGCCCGGCCCTTGGTCTCGATCATCTCCTCCATGTCATGCATGGCATCTCGGAGAACAAACTTCACAGAGCTGCTTGCAGACTGGGGAAACATCTGGCAGAGGTGATACAGTGGCCTGTGAAGCAGAAACAGTCAGCAGAGGACAATGCAGACAGAGAAGTCGGGCATGCTGGGCACTGTTTCTGGTGAGGAGGCCCCAGAGGGCGAGGTTAGTCTCCTTTCTGCTGGGTCTGGGACCGGGCCGGGGCTGCCTCAGCGATGGCTGCTTCTGGTGGCCAGGTCATTCCAGACCGTGTCTCACGGCAGCCCACACTCAGGCTTGCCACCTCCTAATGCTCTGCTCAGTCTCAGTGGTGGCACTGGAACACTGCTCTGTCCCAGTCACGCCCCAGGAGCGTACTCCAGGGGGGGCAGGCTCCTGGTCACACACTATCCTAGGTCGTGGCCTCCTGTAGAGGGGCTCCGCCTCTGGAGCGTGCTGGGGGAAGTGGCTTGTGGCTCTGGCACCTCGAGGCACAGCTCTCCCTGATCCAGGGCCAGCACAGGCTTTCTGGAGCCCATTCCAGCCAATGGAAGTGGGAGCTAGGAGCTGCCCTGGAGCATCCCAGCACCGAGGTACAGGTCTGTGAGGCTCAGGCCGTACAGCAGCAGCAGTAGCAGCCACCCATATGCTCCCCAGATATTGCGACCCACCGGGGGCTAGACATTTGCCTGGTAAGCAAAACACAAGAATGAACCACCAAGACTATCAAAAAATCTGAAAGGCTTAGCTGCTGTAAAGTTAAGTCTGCTTATGGTGAGAAGTCAGACCTGAGCCAAGTGTGCTGGTGTGTGCTTGAAATCCCAGCACTCGGGAGGCTGAGGCAGGAGGATCACTATGAGTCTGGGGTCAGCCTCAGCTACAAAATGAATTCTAGGCCAGCCTGAGTTGCAGGGAAACCCTGTCTCTCTGTGGTGACAGGGCAGCATGTGTTGGGCTGGGACACTATCATGACGCTCCTCGGTAAGGCCCTTACCTGCCACACCACCTCAATGACCCCAGAATGTTTCTGTTTCTCTAAACACAGTGTTCTGAATGTTTCTCTAAACAGAAGAAAATGTTCTGGTCCTGCACCCCAAAAAAGTTTTACTTACACAACCAACTTATCAATGACATTGAGGTCTGGTGGGTCACTTGTGGCCAAATCTCCAACATATTCCAAAAGGAAGCCAAACAGCTTCTGCAGGGACAGAACAGGAAGGGCAGGTGAGTGCAAAGCTACAGACGGCCAACTTCCAGCAGCCCTCGCCTGGTCCAAAGCACAGAGTGAAGGGGCCCAGGGCCTGAAAGAGCATCAACCTAAACGCAGGCAGATGCTGCCAGGCCTTAAGGGCACAGGCAGGCACAGAGAAAATCAGCTAAGTAAGGCCAGGGCGTGGCCCTCCAGATCAGGGAACAGTGTAGCACCGGGTGCGCACAGCAAAACCACAGAGTATGTGGCAGTCCCGGCCCCCAGTGGCCGTGGGAGTCTTCGCCTTCTCACACTGACACGAGTGACATGGCTGCCCTCGAGGTGCCAGTATGCGCAGTGCCACGCAATGGATACTCAAAGCACATCACTCCAGCCTACTTCCAGTTTTGCTTTGTTTCCTACAGCGAGGCTGGGATGGTTGCATTTCTGAATTCTCTCCACCACCAGGAGCTGCTCCTCCGCTGATCTGCCTGACAGCAACGACTTCAGCTCCTCACGGGACTCAGGCACTGTGGGAAACAGGAGATGTTCACCGCAAAGCAGCTCCCACGGCTGCCTCTCGGCACAGCAGAGCCACCTCTCTCTCCCATGATGCATGTCTGAGCAAAGCACCGTCTGCCCTGCGATCACACCACTTAGTGCGCCCTCACTGGGCGGCCAGAGAGGGACCATGTGCTGAGGACCCTACCTTTCCTCAGGTGGGATGCACTGCCCCCCTCATCCTGGGGACAGTGCTGGCTGAGGGCTCGATGCCTCAGATTAGCAGGAAGCAGCTCTGTGAGCCAGATGCCTGGCCACCAGTCCCCACAGGTGGAGTCGTCCCTGCCCATTAACAGTTTCCCCACCCCCAGAAGCTTTCCTTCAGGCAGGAAGAGGCAGAGGTGCTGCACTCTGAAAGGTGCCACATGGCCCACGGGAGCCCAGCATGAGAAGCCAATGACTTGTGAATCTCTAGGACCACCAGAGTGTGGACTCCTGTAGCAGAGACAGCCCAGCGCATCTGTGTCCTACTGTGGTCATGGTTCCTACAGGCTCCAAAACCAAGGCAGCACCCGTCCACTCAACGGAGATGTCACCATTTCATGAGGCACCCGGTCCCCATACCTGACAGGCAGCATCGAGGGAGGGAGGAAGCGAGGGTACGGGCTGCAGCCAGGGCACTGCAGAGGAAGAGACCGAAACCCAAGGCACCCTGTCCATCTACCTTCGAAGGTGTAGGGCAGCTCGCTGCTGGAGGCTTTGCACGCTTTCCCAGTGTCACCCTTTGGCCCCCCGCCAGGAGCTGGACACTGCCCCTCCGCTGGCTCAGTGCCCCCTGCCACGCTCTCCGCGCTGGAGTCCAGGTCCGAGTGGCTGTCTGCACCATCCACCTCCTCTCCGTCCTCCTCCTCCTCTTGGCTCTCCTGGCTGCCGGCTCCCTTACTTCGCTCTTCCTCAACACCCTCCTCGACGTTCATCTTTCCATCCTAGGAAGGGCCCAGAGACACGGCATCACTGCACAGGCGCGCAGCATACAGGGGTCCTGACGGTGACCTCTCCAGAACACTAGGCTGCAGGCGCCCACTGCTTGGGGGTGGGCTGTGCCCCCAGGGCTTATGTACTAGAAGCCTGGTCTTCAGCATGGCACCCTGGGAGGGCACAGTGGGGCCTACATGCAGGCCCGGGCTCAGGAGGGCACTGTCCTGGACTGGATGGGAGTGGGGCCCCGGGTGGCTCTCTGGCCCCCTCGGCTCCTCTTGGGCAGCCAGCCCAGCCCTCCCTCTGACACATGCATGGCCACACATTTGCCTTCTCCTGCGTGGGCTCCTACCAGCTGTGCCCTCCTCCACGCAGCCCTCACCACAGAACAACAGAAGCTGGCTTCACACCCTGAACTGCTGGAACTGTGGGCTACATAACCCTCTTTTAAAAAGTTACCCAGTCTCAGATACGTTGTTATAATAGCAAAACAAACAAGCAAGGGGCTGGGGATTTACCTCAGCAGCCTAAGTGCCTTCCTTGCAAGCCTGTGGTTGTGAGTTCAATCCCTCGTACCCGTAAAAATGCAAAAATTAAAAAAAAAAAAGAAAAACAAACACCAAAACAACCCCCACAGAAACAAAAAGTCCTCAAAGAAACACAAGCCCCCAGAGGCCTGCCACAGGGACTCAGGCAGAACTGGGCCTTGGCAAGGACCTGCGTGGGTCCAAGATTTGAAGGCGCTGTGGGTTTCAGCGTGTGCAAAGGGCCTGAAGCTTCCTGCCACTGATTTGGGGATGGAAACACAGAGGACAACCGTGGCACCCTGGTTTACAGTGACTCATCCCTGGTGACTGCAGGTTGCCTGGGGTTTCTGTCAGTACCCCGTTTCTTGTCTTGGAGCCTATTCCACTCTAAACACCAGGTCGGCCTGTTTGTCACCAGACCCGACTGCTCTTCCCTAGATGCAAAGACAGCTGGAGCCCTGCACCAGCCGGGAAACTCAGTGACATCACAAGACCACGTGGACCTCTTCTCCCTGAGCAGCCCCCTGCAGTAATAAGCTGAGGTCATGCAGACAATCATTCATAAACCATGACACAGATTTTGTTTTCTTCTGGTTTTCTGAAACAGGGTCTCACTGTGTACCCCAGGTTGGTATTAAGCACACAGTGGTCCTGCCTTGGCCTCCCAAAAGCTGGTATTACAGGCATGCGCCACCATGCCTGGCTACAAACCAGGTGACTAAAATCTGGCAGTTAACAAGCGAGCTACGACAGCTGGGGTCAGGCTGTGTGGTTTATCATCCATGAGTCTCGTGATGGTCTTCCCTGTGAGGCTTCTAATAAACAGAGGAAACACTTTCAAAGATCCACATTTCCTTGTCTGCTGAACCCCCAGAGTTATCGGAAAACATCTTCAAATTAAAGGGACAGGAAAGGAAAGCGAGCATCTTACTTTGTATGAAAGGAGACGCCTGTCATCTCTGTCCAGTATGAAGCCGTCGTTCAGATCATCCACTGACAAGTGTTTCGGTGTCTTCCTTTCTGCATCCTCATCCTTTCCCAACATCCTTCGAAGCCTCTCAGCCTGAGCCAAGGGAAAAGAAAGTCCTACAGGCACCCACAGCACAGGCTCATGTCCCCTCCCCTAGCCCCAGGGCATCCCGGGGGCTCTGTCTTCCTCTTAGCCAAACCAAGCGTGCAGGTGCTGGCAGCTCCAAGGGAAGGCTCCCTTGTTTAACACAGCCAACTGCTTCTTCTGGTGGCAAGAAGGGACGCCCTCCTCCACGACCTGGCACAACCCCCAGCCCAGCCTTGCGTTGCACTGAGTATGGGATGAGGATGAGGAGGAGGGGCGGGGAGGGGTAGGGGGAGCAGAAGGTCGGGTGTAAAGCAGACCCATCAGCCACCAGGGCCCCAGACTTAGGGCGGTGACTACTCAGCAGTATGTGTCTAGTTCACTTTTGTTTAAACACAATGAAAACTTTTCAAACATTTTAGTGCATAGAAAAAATTTAGAAGGCAATACGCACACCATACTGTTGGTGGCTCTTTGCGGTAGAGGGTGCAGATGGAATGCCCATTTCTTATTTGGTGTACCTGGGAATTTGTTTTACTGGAAAATTTTGTTTCCATAACCAGAAATAAAAGGGAGCACATAGTTGACTAATAAAACTTTAAATAGGGACGGTCTTTGAATAAACAAAACCACACAGTGTGGCCTGTGACCGTGACCATGGGTGCACAGCCCCTCTACCTCCAGCTTCCTTAGCCGCTCCTGCTCCTCCTTTGCCAGCTCCACTTCTGTCTTCATCCTGTTTGAGGGCTTTGCCTTCATCTCGAAGCCCAGCTCACGGACCACCATATCATACGCGTCAGGCTAGGGGCAGAGAAGACACATGTAACACCCGACCCCAGCTGCCCGCTCGGCCCATCAGCTTTGATGACCCAGGGTCTAAGGCTTCTGAGCCACGGGGATTTTTCTACTCACACAAAAGTCAAAACATGTGTGCTTCTTCATGGCGGTATTAGGTGCCACACATGGCAAATCACATACTGACTCACAATCACACATCATAGCGCACAGAGGCAACACTCAGTGCAGCAGGCCTGGACTGCCAGGCCTTTAGCTACTCAAAGGCAGTTCCCAACAACTTAGGCAAAATGGAATGCAACAGGGACTAACAGTGGAGATGAAGTGCAGATATGTGTCTGTTTGCTCCATGGAAAGTACTCCTCCCCCACAGAAACCGTGACTTAATTCACCTGGAGCAGATACAGAGGAAGCCTCAGTTTATCCCAACAGAATATGATCCCAGAGCCAGACACGGATGCTGCACTAGAAGCCAGGTGTGGCAGTACAGGCCAGTAGCCCAGAAGTAGGGAGGCTGAGGCAGGAGGATTGCTTTGAGGCAAGAAGGCCAGACTGGACTACACAGTGAGACCCTGACCCAAAGGAATAACAAAGTGAAACAAAACACAAAGTTTCACTGAAAGCCTGTCCTGGTAAGAGGAAGACCAGAAGAGACATCCCCTCCCCAGAGAAGTCTGGATGCCACAAGTCCAGTGCCGGTGTGAGCCCCACCTTGGGCTTCTCCTCCTCTCTGTTCCCAGACTTGGGAGCTTTGTGCGACAGGAGAGTTTGGATTTCTTTCCAGTCCTGGTCCAGCTTCTCGGTGAGCTCGAGGGCATCTTCCCGCTGAGCCTGTCTCTCCCTCTGGAGAAAAAGGACACTAACAGCGTGGTCAGGGCCACAACGCACAGGACCGTGTATGGGCAGCACAATGGCTGCCAAGAGCAAAGCAAGAGAGACATTGGTCCTGAGGGTACCAGGAACTCCCGGGCACCAGGAATGCTGCCGACACTGCCACTGTTGAGACAGGGAGAAGGCAGAGCCGCGTAGATGCTCCAACGCAATACCCTCCCGCCGAGAGGAAGGCTTATCCCATTCCCATGAGATGTAAAAGGCAGCCAGGCAGTGTATAAGGCAAGGCAGCCTGAACCTAGCAAGACGCAGGCAAGGACACGACAGCCCACCTTCTCCTGCTTGGACTTGGCAATGAGCTCTTCAATCAGCTCCTTTCGTGACTTCGGCTTGCCCCCCTCTTCCTGTGGGGTGGTCTTCTGCTGCAGGAGCCCACCACCACCTCCAAAGTGGGCAGTGGTCAGCTCAGCTGGAGAGGAAGGCACAGAACAGCACTGGGACCCCAGGCCCTGGTATGAGAAGCTCCTTCTCAGTTCCCTCCCCACTTTCTCCACATGCACACGGCCCTTGGAAATCCATGTCCAAGAAGCAACTCTGCCACCCAAGAGCCGGCAGGGACACACTTGAGACCAGCTGTACTAAGACAATGCAGCCCCACCATTCACTAACTGGACACTAGCCAAGGGACTGGAACCCCTAGGCCTAGCTTCCTGTGTTCTCCTCAAAGATGGCATAACCAGGACAAAAGTACAGCCAGGCTTCAGAGGGAGCCACACCCGCCGGTTCCTTGCACCCCTAGGCAGGGCTGTAAAGCTGGCTGAGCCCTGTCCCTGCCAGTCTCCAGCACTGCCAGTGGATATGGATGGGGACCCAGCTGGTCCTGGACTGTCCTCACTCTAGGACAGGGATCATGGACCAGGGCCACTCATCTCTACGTCATCCTATTCGCCAGAGAGACACAGTTGGAGTCACTCATGTAATACAGCAAAATTCTTTTTTTTTTTTTTTTTTTAATTGGTACCAGGGGTTGAACTCACGACCACACACTTGCAAGGTAGGTGCTTACGATGCTGAGCAAATCCCCAGCAATAATCCTTGCCAAGTGTGATATGCACACCTGTCACCCCACCACTTGGGAGGCTGCAGCAGCCTGCGCTCCAAAGTGAGCTCAAGCCTGAGGTGCGTAGCAAGAATGTGTCTCGAAAAATCAAAAAACCCACTAAAAACAAGACAACAAAAGAAAACAACCCCTTCTTTAAAACTCGGCTGTGGTGTTGTAGCAGTACAACCCCAGCCATTCAGGCAGTTGTGGCAGGAAGACTTCGAGTACCAGGCCAGCCTGGACACCTCAGGGAGACTATTTCAAAACCACGACAAAGCAAACAAGTTGGGGATATAGCTCAGCACACCACCGAGGTTCGACTACTGACATTCACGGCAGGTAAAGAAGTAAAGAACTACATCATTACTGTAACTACCACTAAGATGAGTAACAGATTAGGATTTATAAAAATAGCAGTACAGTGTGGTTAGTGTAAAAGAGTTGCTTCATAGTCAGTGGAATTCCACTCACAGCTCTAGTTCTCTGAGCGCAAGAGGAAAATGAGCTATTGTGAAATTTAAGCAAGAAAATGGATCTTAGGCTGCTTTCCCAGCTCATAAAAAGCATGTATTTCTTTGTTTTGTTTTGTTTGAGACAGTCTCGCTACGTAACCCAGGCTGGCCTCGAACTCATAGTGATCTTCTTGCCTCAGCCTCCTGAATGTTGGGATTACAGGTGCCCTACTGCACCTGGCTAAAAGCACCTATTTTATACCTGAAACTTCAATAAATAAAGCTGCAACATGCAGAATGTACCAAACACTTTCAGACAACAACTTCTCTTGGTTCCAAGGAGGGGCAGAAGGCAGGATGGGCCTGGCCCCTCCCTTACCAGACAAGGCTCCTGGCCCGTCAGTGTCACTGTCGCTGTCCACAATGTCACTGTGCTTCTCGATGTCCGCCAGAGACTGGCCATAGTGTGTCAACTCCTCGTCTTCATTCAGGTTGTAGATGCTTTTTTTCTCATGATGTCGCTGACAGAAACCGGAAAAAAATCAGTTACCTAAAATTACCTTTGTTTCCTAGCAAACAAAACCAATTACTTTTCCCTTATCTGTGAAATATGACAGGGTGGCCCCACCGAGTAAGCTTATTCTGGGTCACTTGATAGGGGATGTGGATAGAGCTGCAACTGACAGAGGGAACATCTGAAAGAAACCAGCAGGCCGGGCTAAGCCCCTGCCGAGTCAGGAGTCCTCACCCGGCACTGGGCCGCCCACAAGGCAGTGCCATTGGTGACACCTGTGGGACCCAGCCCCCATTTCGCATAGCACAGGGCTGCCCCTGTGCTGGTCAGAGGCAGGTGCAGGTCCAGGGACCCGACACCACCCCCACCCCACCACACCGGTGTGCAGCCAGTGAGGGAGACAACCTTCACCCTGCAGGTGGCCTCTGGCAACCTTTACAGCAAAAGACCAAAAGCGAAGATGTCTCCACTCCCCCGTACCTGCTGTTCCAGCGCAAACCGCGCTGTCATCTTCTCCTCTGGGCTCAGGCTGTGGTCATACTCCCCAAAGCGCCTGTCTTTAAACACATTGGACTTATCCCTTTCTTTGTACTCCTTTAGTAAAGTCTGGGTGCGCTGGAAAAACAGAGGTTACACATATCTCACAGAAGGTTCCGGGGACCTCCACCAAGGGGATTCAGAACCGTGTGTGCTTTAAAATTCAGAGTTGTGTGCTATGATGTAAAGATGACTCAGTTTGGGTCAGCAGTGACAAATCTCTGAGGGGGACAACTCTGAGACAAGAAAATCAGCTCACTCTTGGTGAAAAAGGGACAATTCTTTTTCTCCTTAGAGTTTACTTATTGGTATCGAAAGGATGGGTAAAAAAGCCCAAGAGTCCAGCTAAAGACACTGCTTTCCCAGTGGCAGCAGCTGCCTGACAACTTAGGAATGAGTCTACGGTAAGGTAAGCCAAATTCACTTCGGAAATTACAACATCTTTCCTCCTTCAGGGGGATGCTTATTCCCCGGGAAGATATCCCTAGGAAGCGCAGCACTGTGCTTTTATGAATATGTAAGACCTTAACAACGTCATTTCTTAGGCCGGGTGCAGTGGCACACACCTGTAGTCCCAGCAATCAAGTCTGAAGCAGGAGGATCACAATGAATTTCAGGCCAGCCTGCACATACAGCGAGACCCTGTCTCAAACCCCTGGACCCCCTAAAGCCTAAGGAACATGTGTTGGCAGTTGCCATTTGTTGAACTGAATTTGAAAGGCAGGTACAAAATACACTGGGGCCATAAACGCAGGAAAGATGGAAGCTAGGAGATTTTTCATGGAAAGCAGCATTTCAGTACCTCTCAAGGCAGGGAGGGGGGTTAGGCGTTACCACGACGCCCAGGCAGCTCAGGAGGGATTAACTCAGACAAAGGCAGAGCATTACCGAAGCCACGCTCGTGTAAAAGGACCGCGGCGCGGCATTTTCCGACGGAAGATCACCCAGCCCAGGCAAAGGGAAGTATGACGACAGAAGCAGCCAGTGCTATGCGAATGTCACACTCTCCATTTACAGATGACGAACCTGAGGCACCGAAAAGGCCGCGGCTGGCTCGAGGGTCCGCAGCAAGCCCTGGGGGACCCAAGTGCCGGCTGGATCCCTTACCTTCCTGATGGCCCGCGCGCGCGACACGCCGGGCAGCCCGACGTCGTGGCGCGTCTTCCTGCCCAGGATCTGGAACTTCTGCCTGTTGACTTTCACCTCGAACGGGTTAGGGCTGGTCTTCGCCGGCGCCTTGGGGGCTTGCCTCCGCGCCCCGGCCGGTTTGGCCTTGCCCATGGCGCACTCGCAAAAGGACTCCACACACCGCGGTCTTCCAGGCCTTGAAAATGAGAAGCTGGTTGGGCTGCCCGGGTATCGCGTGTGGTCTCGCGGAACCGTCCGTCGAGTCTCGCGATAATTGCTGATCTCTCAAGAGGTCGCGTCTGGAAAGTCACCGACTGGCTTCCGCTCCACTCGCACTTCCCCATTGGTTGAACGACTACAACTCCCAGCAGGCTACGCTCCCGTGACTTCTGGCGCGGGACCTTCTGGGAGCTGTGGCATCTCGCGCTAAGAGAGCGCTCCGGCGCCCTCTTCTGGGAAACCGTTAGCCGGGAGCCGGCTGTCACGCGGGTAGCGGGCGGCGACGGCGCCCCCTGCCGGTAAGCCCCCTGTGTGGTGGGGCGTGGCTGAGGCTCGGGTCCGCGCGGGCCAGGGCAACCTGGCGGACCGGAGCGAGTGCGACGGCGCGGCGGCGGTGACAGAGTCGCTGGGTCGCTCCCCGCTAGAGCCCGCGGCGAGGTCTGGCAGGGGAGGCGACGTCGTCGGCGGAGGCAGCAGGCCCTCTGCCCCGAGGCGCTGTCCGGGGACGTCCGAGGGATGCGCTGCGGCTGCGGCTGTGGCGGTGGCCTCCTCTCCCGCCCAGCCTGTCTCGCATCCTCGATCCCGCAGAGTCCACCGGCGCCGGCGGAAGCGGCGGAAGCGGCGGAGGCGGCGGAAGAGGTGGCAGCGGCGGCGGTTGATGGAGCTGCAGAACCTTACGGCCAACGCGCTGCTGCTGAGAGCGCGGCTCGGTGGGTAGGCGGTGGCGCCCGACCCGGTTCCTTGGTTTCCGCGGGCCCCAGATCTCACGGGGCTGACCCGGTCCTCGGCAGCGGGTGGTCTGCGAGAGGTCAGCCGCGAGAGGACCCGCTGGTGAACACGGGGTCGGGAGGAGTGGGCAGCACAGTCTCCGGGCTTCGGGTGAAGACCCGCGGGCAGAGGTGCCCGGGAAGTGGTGACGTCCAACCCCAGATGCTTGAGCCTCAGAGTTTTAACATCAGTTAGAAAGCCTCTCGTGGAGTCACATACGTTGCTCAGGAATTCCCTGAGTGAGTGAGCCCAGAATTCCGTACCAAACCGAAGGCAGGGCTCGGGAGAACCTGCGATGCTGAAGTCATGCTTATAATCCCAGCACTCTGTGAGGCTGAGGCAAGAAGATGGTAAACGCGAGTCCAGCCTGGACAGTTTAGCTATTCCCTGAAGACCGGGAACATAGCTCAGTGTGCAAAGGCCCAACGTTCAATCCCCCAGAACCATTAAACAAAACAAAACAAAACATCACATCATCCCACCGCTGTGACCTTTGTCCTGAAGTAAATGTCCGTATGTATTTGAATCTGTTTCTGGGCTTCTGCTTTTCTCCTGTGCCTTATTGCATTGAATGATTTGTTTTTAGAAGGCAGGAGGTGTAGCCCCGTGGAGAGTGTGTTTAGTGTGCCCCAGACCCTGGATTTGGATTCCATCCCTTGCAAGAGCAGTGGGATTTGAAAACAAAGACCTCCCGTCTCCTTGTGTTTATGCAATCACCTTTTTTTTTTAAATACAAAAAACTGAGACTGTAAAGAGAACCAGGCCTTGAATCTCTGTTAACACCTCGCCCTCAGCTCACAGCAGAGCACTGGTGTTTGTTTATCCCACACTCTGCCCTAGGGGTCGTAGGTGGAAGTGAAGTCCCATTGATGTTAGGGCTCAGCCTGTGTTCTTTCCCCTCCACCTTCACTTCTGGGTATGATATGCAAATGGACTGTTGTACCAGGGAAACCTCACTGTAATGCTGCCGAGATTAATGAGGTAGATATAAATGTTCTTTTTTTATTAAAAAAATTTTTTGTACTGTCTTTATGTACAGTTTTGTTACTGCTTTTAAAAATTGAATATAAAATGTTAGAAATACATAGACATATGCTGAATGTTGGTTGTAGTTTAGGACTGTTTGCCCAAGCTAATAACTGTTTGTTTGCTTGAGAGTAACTCCTCAAATGTATGCATGGTGGCATACTTGTAGTTTCAGCTCTCAGGGAGGCTGGGGCAAGAGGATCACTAGTTGAAGCTCAGCCTAGACAATATATGATTTTGCAAGACCCTGTCTCAAAATAAAAAAGAGCTAGGATTGTAGCTCAGTGCAAAGGCCCAGAATCCATCCCTGGTACCAGAGACACACACAGCCCAAGAGATGACCAGGCTTCTTCCAACAAGCAAAGGTCACAAGAAGATACTGTATGTAAATCAGGACGTTCCTTGATTGACATCAAATCTGTTGTGATTTTCAACTTCCCAGCCATCAGAACTGGGAAAAACAAGTTTCTGCTGTTTCTCTTTCAGTGTGTCATATTTTGTTGTAGCCCAAGCAGTCTAACCTGGTCTCAAACAAGATTGCTGGAGGGGCTGGGGATTTAGCTCAGCGGCATAAGTGCCTGCCTTGCAAGCAGGCAGTTGTGAATTTGATGCCCGGTACCAATAAAAAAAAACAAGATTGTTGGAAACTTTCTCCTTTGAAGAAGACTGGCAGATGCTGCTACCTTCACAGCGTTGTTTGTGATTGTGCCAGGCATGCTTTATTTGTTTTTTTTTTCCAGGCTTGCTTTAAAGAAGAGTAAGCAAACATTTCATTAATAAAATAAATCGCAAAATAATCCTTTTTCTAATTTAGGGTTTTCTGCCTGTAATCCTAGCACTCTGGAGGCTGATGCAGGAAAATCACTTAAGTTCAAGGTCAGTCTGGGCTATACAGTAAGTTCAAGGTCAACCTAAAGCAACACAGCAAGATCCTATCTCAAAAAAAAAAAAATTTAGGATTTTTTTCCATATTGTGTATTTGTTAAGCAATTTACAACCTTTAATTGTTTAAATACACTTAAATTCCTTTGTATCAGACTTCTCATTAAACCTTAACCTTATTTAATCTCTTGGAAAAATTCACAGCATCAGTGCTGAGAGAATTATACGATGTTGTGTATCTGAAGTTGGTTTCGGTCTAGAATGTCCCCCAGATTCCTGTGTGTATTAGCGAGTTGGGTAGCCAAGGTGCTATTAGGCTATATGACCTGGTGGAGGTGGTCACTGGGGTGTGACCTGGAAGAATTATTCTTGTCCCTGGCTCCTCCCTTCTCTCTGCTTCCTGGGTGCCATGGGTTGAGTACCCTTTTCTCTCCTGCACCCTTCCTGTTCCTGCCTTGGAGCCAGCTGACTGGCTGGGCTGAAGCTAAGCCAAAGTAACCCCTCTTGAAGTTGCAGACTCAGAAGTGGGGAGGAGACTAAGGCACACTTGTAGCAGTTTTGTTCTGAGTTGGGTTGCAGTGTTACAGCAGTTTCATCAGCACTGCTAATGCACAGCTAATGCACTGTGTTATCATTAGCACTGTTTTTTTGCTGAGACTTTTTCCTGGGATTTTTTTTGGCTACAAAGTACTAACTTAAGCAAATAGTAAATTTATGGGAAAAATGTGAGTTGGTTCAGAGAATCAAAGCAACTCTAGTAGCCAGGCTGGAAAAGACAGGACCCATCTGTGGTGTATTTACTCAGCAGATGTTTTTGAGTCCATGTTGTATGCTAGGAATGTTCTAGGTGCTGTGCTGATAATAATAAACAACGTGGTCAGAAATTTCTGCCATTATAGAGACCACATTCTCTTTTTCAGATTTTTACTTATTTCTCTAAATTGGCACATAATAAATACACTTATTTGTGGGGTATAATGTGTTTCAATATGATTATACAATGTGCAATAATCAGATCAGGGTGGTTTACATAGCCATATCTTAAACATTTAGCATTTCTTTATGTTGGGAACATTCAAAACCCTTTCCTGGCTAGTATGAAATATAGTTAATTGTTGTCACGCACAGATACCTCACTGTGCTACAGAACATTAGAATTTGTAATCCCAGCACTTAGAAGGCTAAGGCAGGAAGATCATTATGAGTTTGAGGCAAGCCTGGATTACATAGTGAGACTCTGGCTCAAAATAAAGAATGGTAGAAGTGAGCCCTGTGGAGACCATGTTCTTATAGGGTGGCTGACCTGAGACAAATGTGTAGACACATGATGTGTTAGCAAAGGAGGAGTGCCAAGATGGAAGCCAGTGCAGGGACAGGACGACAGATGGCCAGGTGCTGTTGGCACTGAGCAGGGTTGCGTGGGACTGCTGCCCAGTGACCTGGTCTCAGCCGTAGAGGCTGTGGTAGCAGGTTCCTGCCTGGGTTTTTTCCTGACCATGCCTCACTCCTTTCAAGACTCACAGCCTGGCAGACAGGGCATGGCATTGCTTGGCTGGCTGGCTCGGCTCCTGCCCTTCCTGGCACCCTCGGCAGGGAGAGCCAAGACTGGGCTGACAAGGCCATGGGTACGCATGGTGGGCAGGTAGAAGGGAGAGGCTGCCTGGCAGCAGGAGGATGTGGCTGCACTCTCCTGAGTTAAGCCTGGGCTCCGCTGGCTGGGAGAGGGGAATAAGAGCACAGCAGAAAGTGCCAAGGTGGGGACAGGCAGCCTAGCCTGTGGCTGGAGAGACTCTGTGGTCTCAGACCTCTAGGCTGGGCAGGAGAGTGCTCTAATCTCAACGCCTTGATTCCAGAGCTCTACCAGCCAACTCTTCATTTGTTCCCACCCTCCAGAGCCTCTTTACCGCTTGTTTCCTTTGTAAATGAGTAACTTCTGTGTTTCTAGGACACATTCTCTTACTCTTATCCTATGGGCACAGCCTATCCACCGTGTGGCAGGCACAGCAGGCCCGTGTCTTTCTTCACTAGTTTGTCCCCAGTTTGCCTTCATCCTCTTCATCCTCTTCTCTGTAGCGCTCTCTAGTTCTTCCAGCTCAGACTGCTCTCTACCTGCTGGGAATCTGGACGTTGGAGTTGTCACCCAGCGTAGCCGTGGCTCTTTCTCTAGCTAAGCTGAAAGCTGCTTAAGGACAGGACACTGTTCTCATCTTTATTTTTCATCTCTTTCAGTGCCAGCCATGTACTTGGTACTTAGTGAAAGTTGGAGATTCCGGAGTTGATTTGTTACTTTTGTTGAATTCAAGAAGGAAAAGGTAAAATATACACTGAAAACTAAAAGATTAGAGGGACAGGGAGAAAATAAAGCATGTCCCTTTTGGCCACAGAGCCAAAACATTAGAGACATTAGAGTGAGCATA